TTTCCGGATCGTGCCAATCAACCTGCGTCCGCGCAGCCGCGGCCGAGTGCTGCTGCGCTCGCGGAACCCGTTCCAGGACCCGGCCATTCAGCTGCGCCTGTTCGACGACCCCTGGGACGTGGCCGTGCTGCGAGAGGCCGGCCTGATGGCCGAAAAGGTGGGTGACGCCGATTTAATGAGCAGAGAGTAGGACATCAGTCTGCTCGGTAATCAGCAGACGTCTGACAACTTCTTGAGCCATCATATGATTTCGATTAAAGCTGAGAATGGTTGATATATTTTCACTGAAGATGAAGCGGTTGTTTAGCATCTAAAGTAGCACATCTGCGAGTTGCGACCCATTCGTCGTAGCACAATATCACGTATTATTGGCACGGAAATATATCAATAACCTGCATCTCGCTAAACTGCCTGTCTGACAACAATGTGATTAATTGATCGTCTACTTGTCGATCTGTAAGCTGACCGTTTGTCCGTCTGTCTGTCCGGTTTACCTAATACCGTCTTTTCGCCCTGTTACCAACTGACCCCACCCGTGTCACTGGCCTCGCCCTGCAGGTGGCTCTGTCAGCGCCGTTCCGCCATGTCGGGGCCCGTCCGAGTCTCGTGCCCAGTAAGTTCTGCGGCGCTCTGGGCGCCCGCAGCGGACCCTGGTGGGAGTGTCAGGCGCGCGTCTTCTCCGAGACCATCTACCACGATACGAGCACGTGCGCCATGGGCCCGGCGTACGACCCGTGGTCTGTGGTAGATAACCAGCTCAGGTGAGAGCGGACTGAGAGCGTGCAAGTCGGGTCACGGTGCTACTGAAAAACAGTAAAAATCATAAAATGTCTGTCGTTGTGAGACGTTTGCGGTATGTCGCTTGTTTTTGTACAACTTATTTTATCCAGCGATGCGGTTTCTCTAAATGCCAGGCTCTCCATGACAAATAATCCTCATGTTTACTGGTCAGTGACCACATCTTTCCTCCCTAAGGCTTTGAGGAGCTGGTGTGCAGTATCAGTGTTATGTGAGTGGTATCACATCATCTTGCCAAGGTGGTTTTTGGGACAGCGATGTCACGCCACGTCTCCGTTCATCCCCGGCACTGCTCCTCGTTACATCGTCCCCTCTTCTCCGTCTCGGCAGAGTATACGGCGTCAGCGGCCTGCGAGTGGTGGACGCCTCAGTAATGCCCCGCATCATCTCCGGAAACACCAACGCACCGACCATCATGATCGCGGAGAAGGCGGCCGACCTGGTGCGGGCCCGGTGGCGGGCCATCGCTCTGGGCCTGGAGCCGGAGCAGTTCGTGGAACAGCACGTGCTGTACCCGCACCGGCGCAGCGGCCAGCTGTATGACCCAACCGGGCCTGTTGTGCAGTTTATCGATGTGCTAAAGAGGGCGGGAGGAGATGGAGAGGTAGAGGCAGAGGCAGAGAGCGCAGTGCCCGAGGGAGTGAAGCTGTTCGGAGACTGGAACGGGACGGCAGAGAGCAGCTCGGCTGTGACGGAGGGAGGTCAGCTGGGAACACCTCAGGGACGCAGTCTGTTCTCAGGAGCCACTGCTGCTGCTGAGTCGGGAGCTGAGCTGAGCGGCGGACTGCAGGGGGAGTCGTGTGCCGAGTGGGCCGGAGCGTGGTCTGATGAGGGTGACGAGCTCAGCTGTGGGTTTCAGCCGACTCAGAAGGCGCGAGTGGATATGGTGACGGTGGCGAGGCGGAAACTGGCGCGGCTGCTCCACGCCATGCAAAAAAGTGAATCGCTGTTGTAGTTAGAGATACTGCTAGACTGTTGCGAGCTACGAGTAAACATTATAAACATATGTTAGGTACGTGCACGCTAACTGCACATGATTATCGAGATCGCCTTCGTGTGCATATTGCCACGGATTTACTGGTGTGCTCAATACGTGTAAGTTAGGCAAATAGCTCTTAGTATTTATGCCAAAATAGTTTGTGTTGAAGCCTTGAAGCCATGGTTTTGAGCTGTTGCCATGCCATTTTTGTTATTTCTTAGGTATAGTGCGACATTTTATCGCAATCGACGATGGTACTGAACTATGTGTTTTCGTGATAAACGATTGTGTTAAATCAAATAATTTATGTTACATGTATCCTATGTGTTTATCAATAAAAAGCGTTAAACATGCGGATGGTAAATATTTCATGCAGTCCACTGTCCATGTGAATCGACTAGAAATACGAAAATTTTAACCAAATAGTTTCGGTTGATTGATTGCCATGGGGAGTACCTATGTCGTATGCTTCATTAAAACACTTTGTCCTTCAGTCCTAGTGAGTTATCATTACGGTCAATAAATAGACGAATTCGACTTCTCGCGCCTGAACCATGCTGTGCCGCATGACAAGTAGTAGTTCTTATTACTGTCAATGGGTAGCACCAAATTCGTGCGCCTGAACCATGCTGTGCCGCAAGACAAGTGGTAGTACTCATTTCTGCCAGTAGGTGGCACCGAGTTCGCGCGCCTGAATCATGCTGTGCCGCAAGACAAACGGTAGTTCCCTTTACCACCGATACATGACGCTAGCTTGTAGCGCCTGAAACATGCTGTGCCGCAAGACAAACGGTATTTCCCTTTACCACCGATAGATGACGCTAGCTTGTAGCGCCTGAAACATGCTGTGCCGCAAGACAAGCGGTAGTTTTCATTACTGCCGATAGATGACGCTAGCTTCCAGCGCCTGAAACATGTTGTGCCGCAAGACCGGATGTAGTTCTCATTACGGCCGATAGGTGGCTACAGCTTCTGGCGCCTGAAACATGCTGTGCCGCAATGCGTTAGGCCAATGAAAACCGGCCAGCGGGAAATAAAGGGGATTTAGGTGAAGGCAGTGTATTTCGGTAATGATTTTCCACTAGTTGTCAATATACCTTACAATGATAAAACAGCCTGCACGCCGATGTAATAGAGGAATTTCATTCGACATGTAGGTAAGCACTTTAGCAGCATATTCCCTTGGCTTTGGCCTGTCCACTGTCCAGTGTCCATGGCTAGTTGGCCTCAGTCCCGACAGCGAACCGGGGCGGCGCACCCTGACCAATGTCTCCCTTATTTCCCTTAGTCCTTTCGGCTCTGAAAAGGTTTTGTCAGGCCGAAAGGGCCTAACCCTACAAAACAACGTTGCCCTCTTGTCAGGATTCAGGAAATGTGTTTTCAAGTAAGTCATTTTGTTTGCATACTTTGAACCTTTGGGGAATTTCAACCGTTAACCCGCGCCCCGTTGGGCTCTGCCGAGCAACGCGCCCGGTTGGGGGGGGGGGCCATTTTGGCCCCCCCCTAAGATCTCGAGAACCACGCAACATAGCGACAAGCGGTAAACGGCGTTGGATAGCCCCAACGGGGAACTACCTTGTGACCCAATTTTATTGACCTAGGTCAAACCGATGACGTCACAGGTCAGGTCAAAGGTCCAATTTTCACCGTTTACAGGCACTTCAAGAAATGCGTTGTTAAATCGAGTAAAATGCATTTCATTGAAAATCATCGATGGGGAAATGATCTTCAAACACATATTTTGCTATTTGAGGTCACTGATACCAGGTCAGGTCACAGAGGTCAGGTCACGGGGGGGTCACAATATGAAAGTGTCGTGTGATACATGTTTTATGGTCCATTTTACATGACAAATGCGATTATATGGGTCAGGCAGCCTTTGGGGCCAGCTTAGATCACGTTTTGGTCAAAGTCAGGTCAAGGTCAGGTCAAGGTCAGGTCAAATTAGGTCAAATTTCAAAATTAATATTTTTGCATAAAATGGGTATCGAATCGATGCAGCTCGTCACGGGGAGTTCAATGGTGGTCTTTGTTTTGCCGTAAGTGGTCTAGAATCGCTAAAAATTGAGTTCAAAAATTTGACGTCATCATTTTTGAACAGTTTTTTCGCTATAACTTGGCCAAAAAACGAGATATCGATCTGAAATTTGGTATGTATATAGATCAGCGCTGGGACTATCACATATATTCCGGTTTTTCCGAAATTCGGAAAAATTTTGGATTTTTTCAAAGTTTTTCTAAAAAAATCAATTTTTTGATTTTTTTTTGTCAAAAACCAAAAATTTTGAAAATCCGAGATAGCAGTTTTGTAGCGCCGCTTTTTGGCTACTAGACCATATAAAGAACTTTGAAATTGCTTGATAACTGTAGATTTGGTGAGCGTTTCAAGATTGCATGTTTTTTGCTCATTTTTGCTCGAACATGACCTCAGTTTGACCTCAATAACTCCTGACCTAAGGTGACCTTAGACTTGAAATTTGGTGTGAAGGTGTCAAATTGATGCCCGGGAAGGTACTGAAAATTTGGCGGCGCTGCGCGCCGCCGTTTTCTTGCTATTCAGGAAAAACCACAGGGGGGGCCAAAATGGCCCCCCCCCCAACGGGGCGAGGGTTAATGTTTCCTTATAGTTACATGTATTTGGTGTGTAAGTGGTAGATATGATCAAAAATAATTATGCATACATATTTTCTGATAGGTATCCCTAGCCCGTTTCAGAATGAAACCGACTGCGGATGAACGGCATGCACCCGAAGCGGAAATTACGAAACCATGTTAAAACAATATATGACATTTTGGACGTCATCACGACGCGGAGACGGCGACACCGCTATCACCACCGGGGTGCAGCCCTTCACATCCTGGGTCGGGTCACGAAGGGAACACACTCTCGGTCACAGAAAGAACAAGAGGCGGGTCAGAGTAAGAAGAGCCGGGTCACAGGTAAAACAAGAGCCAGATCACCTACAGAACACAACCCCCAGTCACACAGGGCTGTCACCCTTCTGCCCGCCCTCCGCTGCTGAACAGCCGGTGACAACACCCGGAAGACCGCGCCGCGTTCCCAGCTCGCTCGGAAGTCACACGGAAGGCTGAGACCCGCCAGTGGGGCGGGGCGAGACGTGCGGCAGGCGACCCCGGTGACCTGGCGGTGACCTGGGCGACCCCATTTCCGGTGACCGGTGGCCCAGCAGACGGTGCGGAGGGTAGATTGAAAGTGACGAGTGCAGCGACGGTATATAGTTGTGCGGCGTCGCAGGAGGAGTTGTCAGTGACGCGGAGTCTGTGGTTTGGAGTGTGACCGGGCGGAGCCATGTGGAAGGTGAGCGACGAGCGTTCAGTGGAGTCGGCTAATCGGCCCGGCAGCCGCAAATACCTCAGCACGCGATAGGATCGACTTCCTATGATTTAATTGTGGTATTTTCGCCGACATCAACTTTGTGCACTTTGAATGAACAAAACAAACATCAATACTCAATAGTAGAATAACGATACGCGTATTTCATACTTGATTACCAATAGTTTATTACACGATAGCGCGGATAAAAGCGTAAGACGTAATATTGGACCATATTGATATTCCGTCCAGTAAAGGATGTATCGATGATAAGCTGCACCCTAATATATTCCCGTCCTTCTCTTACAGAGCGCCGTGATTCTCATTTGGGCCTGCCTGGTGCTGCCGGCAGTATTCGCTCTGCCCGCGATCAGCCGCGCCAAGCGCCAGCGCGGTTACACCGAGCAGGAGTTGGTCGCGGCTCCGTACGGCGCCCGCCCGCCGTCTGGTCCCACTGCGGTGCCCAACCGGGCCTACGGAGAAGTCCCCTCCGAGCAGGACCAGCAGCGGTTCTCGACCCCCCGACTCGGCCCGAGCCAGGCGAGCGTGCCCCCGACGGTACTCCCGCAGCGGAGAGGTAACGCCCGCGGGTCGAAGAGATTCGGTGGCGTGGGGAGTTCCAATCTCCAGAATGAGGTGCGGGGCGTGTTCAGAGGCGCTCCCGAGTCTCTGATCGGTCTCGCTGTCCTGGCCAGAACGGCAGGTGATTTCAGCTCAGCTAGCGGACGACAGGGTCGGTTTGATGATCAGCAGCCGTCTACCTTCGCGACCGCCCCTGGCTTGCAGCAGAGCTACAACTCGGCTTCAAGTCCTGGGCCTGTGGTGAAGCTTCAAGGTGTTCCTGCCCCTAACATCCAGTCAAACTATAATGGACAAGGCCCCACTTCTATTCCGATCCCCATTCCTCGGCCAAATCTCGCCCCTGACGCCGGGATCAATTCCAACACCATCTCTGCCCTCGAACCAGCGCAGAACTACGCTGCTCCTCCTGACCCTCGCCCCAACTACGTCCAAGGAGCTGCAGTTCCGTCCATCATCCTCCCCCGTCCCACCGTCTCTCCCAGTCCGGTGCCCGGACCCAGCTCTCTGCAACTGGAGCGTCCCATCGCGAGCCCTCAGCGGGAGCGGCGACCCAGCGACCGGCAGCAGGCGGGCTACCGGACCGCCCTCAAGACCCTGTCTGGAGCGGCCCGTGCTGCCCAGATCCAGAGGAACGTCGCGTATGACGGCGGCAATCAGCAGGAGTTTAGAGACCAGCAACCAGAGTATAGAAATCAACAGGAAGGGTTCAGGAACCAGGAGCCTCAATTCACAAATCAGCAGCAGGAGTTCAGAGATAATCAGCTGGAATTCATAAATCAGCCAACGCAATACAGGAACCAGCAGCAGGAGTACAGGAATCAGCAGCAGGAGCTCAGAGGTAATGGACTAGAATCCATAACCCAGCAGCCGCAATACCGGGATCAGCAACAACAGCTCATTGAAAAGCAACCAGAGGCCTACAATCCGGCTGCTTACATGCAGGTGAGAATGAGCTCAAAGCACTCAAATAACATGAAGCTTATAAATCTAATGCAGAAATTATACAACCCAGTAAAACTGACATGCTGAATGAAACTATCATGTCTAATCTAATCTAGAATCAGCTAATCTATAGTATATCAGCTAATCTAATTCAGTAGCGATGATCAAAGGCATTAACACTTCACCTGCACACGTGCTCTGTTTCCGCCCTCAGGACCCCGCCCGCTACGAGTTCCAGTGGGGCGTCAAGAATGCCGACGGCGCCGACTTTGGGCACCGCGAGGCGCGCAGCGGGGACCTCACCGAGGGCTCTTACTACGTCCTGCTGCCGGACACGCGCACACAGACGGTCAACTACCGCGTGGACGGCCAGAGCGGCTTCGTGGCTGATGTGCGGTACGAGGGGCAGGCGCAGTACCCTCGTGGAGACGGAGAGACTAGCCAGTACAGACAGCGGGAGGCAGGCAGAGTGAGGGAGGTGGTGTCAGTCGGCTACCGGGAGTCTGATGAGAGGAGGCAGCCGACGGGTAACCAGCAGTTCGGGCTTCAGGCGGAGGCTGGATATCAGGAGTATACGAGTCAAGACGGGACTGGTTACCAGACTCCCGATCAAGGACGGAACGGCAACCAACTCCACGGACGGGAACAAAACGGCTACCAGCCTCAGTCCCAGAATGGTTACCAACCTCAAAGCAACGAGCTGACCAACTACCAGTCTGAGACTCAGGAGCTAGATGATTACCAGCCCCGAGGCCAGGAGCAGAGCGGCTATCGCCCCGATCTTCAGCCTCAATCGCGCTCCCCGTCCGAGGCCCAAAACCAGTTGGACTATCAGACCCAGGGTCTCAAACAGTCTGGAGATTACCAGTCAGAAACGCCGCTGCAGCAAACCTATCAGGCCAACACGAGCTATCAGCCTCAGGAACAGCGGTCCGGATACCAGCCGGGGGCCCCGGAAGCGGCTGGTTATCACGCACAGAACCGAGGGCAGTTGAGATACCGGCCCCCAAATCCGCTCCAGCAGTCCGGGTAGCAGACGGAGTCGCCGGTGAGGCCCGACTTCCAGCAGTCGGAGCCTCAGGGTCGGTACACTTATCAAGCCTAGAAATGGCAAACTTTGTTACCGACACTCATAACGTGAACGTCGATTTTAAATGAGTTATGTGTTCTGCAGATTGCCAAAGATAACCAGGAAGCAGCCCTCCCTCACTAAACTAAACCAGGCTCTGGCCAATTGTGAGTTTCCTGATGTTGCAATGTGAAAATCGACCGCGACAAGGGCCAGCCGTGCCACTACCGGTACGGGGCTCCAGTCAATGGGTCATTTGCGGCGCGGTTCCCACAGGCTGACATGACCCCTGAACCGGAGTCGAGTCGGGTCGTGGTGTGCCATCACCGCTCACTATAAAGATTAAAAACTTCCTTCCCTCTCCGAACGCGGTTTAGGCTATTACAACACTAAACAAAATGTGTATTGGCTGAAAAAACTTTTGTTTTTCACGCGTTTATTGTTGTTCGCGTCGGCTATGTTATGTTGTAGTTTACATTACAAAGAACGAGATATTCATCGACAATCTGAATTTGTGGGGTAAATTATATAGATTAATTTACTCAGAACAAGTCAGTACTTAATTTCCTTTGTGTAAAATATCTTGCACAAATATCGGATGGTATTTATGTGAAGATCTATCTGTCAGGCGAGAGCAATGGTTCTTTCTGTTTGGTAACGATGTGCCTTTGGATATGGTTTGCGTTCGCTTGGTTTTGTTACGTTCATAGCAGTTCCTGTTGCATTGTTAAGTTCCTTTGTTATGAAATGGTGTATGCATGAAAGTCAATAAATGCACGCATGCTATTCATGTGATCTAGTTTTGATACACCGTTGGACATCCAACTTCTTCGTTAGCCTAATTGTGCTGTTTATGAATAAAACAATGCCCTGGTGGGTTGTATATTAAAATGTTGGACATAAGTAACGAGTAAACTCTCAACATTGCCATATGCCATCGACATAAACACCGATTGAACAATCCACAAATACCACGCAAATGCTCAGAATCCACAGCACGAGCCACACATAATTATGCTTCTGCTGGTATCGACCAATGGCGATACCGACCTTAACCATGCGTTAATCGCAGAAAAGAGCGACATATTTTTGGTACCAGTACCTCAATGTTCAAGCTGATGAACATGTTCTCGTTACGAGCGAGCGAGCGCAGCGAGCGAAGTGAGTCTTTTCAATATAACGGGAAAATCTCAGTATGAGCGGCCCGGCCCGGCCCGGCCCGGCCTGTAACGCTTTTGAGAGGCTTATATCTCAGCAACCGCTGGACCGATTGGCCTGCGGTCTTTTTTGTTGGGTAGCCCCATCCCTTCTTCCCCGTAATTGACTACTTTTGATACATCTCAGTGACCGTCGTGGCACGTGCCACGTGAAAAGTCAAGGGTGTTCAAGCAGTTTTGCAAAAGTAATGATTTTGAGAGGCCCATATCTCAGCAGCGGCTTGAGCGATTGTCTTGCGGTAATTTTTATAGGGTAGCTGCATCCCTTCTACCAAAGGTCGGATACTCTTCATCTATGTGAGTGACCCCCACTGCAGGTGCAAAATACAAAAAGAAGAGGTGCCAAATTTGTTCCCATTTCAATAACTCGGTAATTACTGGGGCTATCTCGCTGAAACTTGGCATGCAGGTAGGCACCCACCAGGCAACGAATTCCCATGTGTTGCGGATAGGGTGCTACTGCACGTGCGCACGTGCAGGGGGCGTTTCCAGATCTCGAGAACGGCTGGGCCGATTGCGCTCAAATTTGGTACACGGTTGGGGACCGGTTAGTAGGGTGCCGTGCAAAAGTCATTTTGGACCCCGTTTGCACGTGCGCACGTGCAGAGTGCCGCTTCCAGATCTCAGAAACGGCTGGGCCGATTGCGTTCAAATTTGGCACACCGCTAGCGACCGGTTAGAAGGGTGCTTTGCACAAGCCCGTTGGAAGGACCCTCTCGCCCTTCCGCACGTGCAGGGCTCACTATCTCGCTCGCTCGTTCTTCGCACAAAAGGCGTTTTACTGGTATTATGCTCTTCAGTCATATCTGCAATGGCACGCTTCCTACATTTTCTTTTTGCGGTAGCTAAGATTCACGGCAGAAGCCAAAAACTTACTTTCAAACCATTCCATACATCATTCAACACAATTTTCCGATAAAAAAAACACGTCCGGAAAGATAATAATAAAAAAAAAATGTGTCAAGTAAGTACTGGTATAAAGCGTTTTGATGCAGCATTAAAATGGTCCACAAGACAATACGACATAAGAGAGCGTGGACATCACGGGAAACACCAGTACAGCGCGTCACGCATACAGTGACGTCATGCCACCACGAGTCACAAACACGATGTCACGCCATGCACGAGAAACGTCACGTGACGCGTAACACAGTAAACATATTAGATGACATGACACGACAGCGAAACCGACCGGACCAGCAAGGCCGGCACCAGTAAACCATATGACGTACACTGAGCACAACTAGCAATCAAAAGCAAATGATCGAAAACAACATGAGATTGTTTTTTATCAGCTGTGCCTTACTGTACAGTTAACTGTATCATATTGCTATTTTATTCACGCATTAAAAACTTCCCTTTATCGTCACAGACTAAAGCAAACGGTCTGTAAATGATTTGTAGCGACCTTTGTGATTGTGTATAAAAGATGACTATTGACTAAGTCAATGAATATGTTCCGGAACTCTGCGAAAATCAGAATTCAAATATGTACAATCACTTGTTTAGTCAGTGAAGTGATGATCAATAATATATCGGCCGGCAGATACGATCATCTGTTTGGCCACTTGAGTGATGATCAACAATAAATCAAAAGGTCAGACGAGACTTTAAATACACCGACAAGCTAACATCCGTTAGGTACCAACTTATTCCTTCGTCCCTATTTGACAATCATCGACTGTTAATTGCTTGACTGCTAATTTCGCATAGCATCATCCATTTTTTAGAGTGTTTCAGCACTGCCTAAATCACAGCTGGTTGTAAAAATATCAGTACTTACACTACCGAACCTAGTATTTTATCACCAATACGTTATTTCACATTGCAGCTCTCACATGCCATACCTCACGTCCACAACGATCACCCACCAAAATAGAACATCTATTATGTAGGTACTTACCCTAAACACGACGCGAAGTTCCCACCTCGCACTAGCCGCCAGCTCGCCGGCTAGTCCTCCAGACACTCGGCCAGCATATCCAGCTCGCTCACCGAGAACGGAAAGCGGAAGAGCGGCGAGCCAAAGAGCGGGTGCTCGCTCAGACCCTCGGCGGCGCCGTCCGGCATCACGGCACGCACCCGGTAGTTGACGTGCATGTTTGACTCCATTTCGGCGCACATCAGCGTGTAGACGAACCGTGCGTCGGCGGCCAGGCGGCGGGCTGGCTCCTCCCGGGCGGAGGACAGGTTCTGAGTGGCCGCGAAATACTCGGCGGTCAGCACGGGCACGATGTAGTCGACTCCCGTGAACCACTTCTTGACGGCCGAGTAGGAGTCGAGGTAGCGGTGGCGGTTCTGCTCCTCGAGCATCATAACCCGGAAGCCGAACCCCTTAAGCTGTTTGGCCACCTCCAGCGCCGTCTCGCGGCCATCGTACGCGTACGTCAGCATCAGCTTCTTGGAGTATTGTGTCGGCTTCTTGAGGTCGGCCTCCCAGGCGGTCGGCGAGGTCGGCGGCTCGGAGCGCACGGGAATGGCCTTCACCAGAGAGGCATCGGGCGGCTCGGAGAGCACGCCGACGATGTCGCTGCCGCAATGGTCGCTGCTCTGGTAGCCGCTGTCCATGGGCGAGCACGAGGCGCGGCTGAGCAGCTCCTGCTGGCGGCGGCGCGCGCACGCCTCGCGCACGCCGCCAGCCACGTCCGCCAGCACCCGCAGCAGGCTGTGCTCGCGCAGGAAGCGCAGCAGCAGCGCGGCCGGCAGCGGCTCGGCGCGCCGGCGCGCGGAGTCCTCCAGCAACAGCTCGGTGGAGCTCTTGAGGTGTCCGGCCACCTGTTCGGCGCAGAAGCGGCGGTCCACCGGGTCCACCCCGAGCAGGTCGGCCAGGTCGTTGTAACAGCGGCCGTTGTGAGCGAGCTGCACCTGGCGGCAGATACGCTCGCGGACGTCGGCCGTCAGCTCGAGCCACGGCAGCGCCGCCTCCTCGCACTGGACGATCAGACTGTCGGCCGCCTCCAGCTGGGCGAGGCGGCCCTTGGCGATCCGTTCGGCCGCCTCCTGGCGAGCCAGCTCCATCTCTGGGTTCACGGCCGGCATGGTGTAGGACGGGTGGGCCTCGGTGCAGGTGTGCAGCTCAGGAAACTTGGTGGGCGGAATCAGTGGCGCTGAGGTCCACGACGGTAAAACAGATCACCGGCGCAAGATTGTACCGTGCAAGTATCCAATATCTTGTCTGAAAATGGGATAAAACATGTCAATGCTGATTAAATTCAAATACTGCCAGTAGTCAGCGGTTGGCATGCAATACACTTTTGCGATACATCTGAAACGTCCTCATAACTGGTGATAATGCGAATGGTGTTCGTCATTGCCATGCTAAGTAGCTGCTCTGAGGACAGCGTAAAAACCAACAGTTGTGACTGCATGTGTAGTGTGTAAAACCATAACCAGTCGCAATAGTGGGTATGACTTAGGGCCTGAATAAAAATGCCTTCACATCCGCTCCTGATAAACATTGTTCAACTGTTCGTTGTTGAAATTCTGCCGTGGTATTCTAAGAGCAGTTTCATCAAATAAAGCTTTGCACATCAATGTTTGTATTGCATCGAAAACGTTCCATATTAGCGTGTCAAGAACAGATCTTAAAGACCAGTTAGCATGGAGGAAGCACGCAACAAGACTTTCAGAACAACAGTTGGGACGAAATTAATACATAAGTCAAAGCAAGCAGCGCGCCAACAGCGACAAGAGTGAATCATGTAGGTAAATGATGTAAAAAAAGACACGACACAAGGCAAATGTAATGAACAGAATGTTATGTTCGTGATTCACGGTTCGAGTGAGAGAGAGCTTAAGAGAAACGCGATTTATTTACTGCCGGTGCGAATGGGCCGAGAGAGTCCTCCAAAAACTAAACAAGTATGGCGAGCGCCACGCCTAGTCGCCCGCGCCAGTCATGCCGCTTGGCGCGCACGATCAGCTGAGCGTCGGCAGGGGCGCTCCCAGGCACACAGAGGTGGGGCCGCAGAGGCGGTCCAAGTACACACCCCCTATACCCGAACACAACATCCCCCCTCGAGACAACAGTCGTCAAAAACACACAAAAACACAACAATGCACGACGTTGTCTCACAGTCACTCCGCATACGAGGTCGCACCCCATTGAACTCGGAGCCGACCAGGAGCGCGGCGCTGCCGTCGAGAACGACGCGGGAGAGCGGCGGCGGCCGTCTCCACCTCGGGTGACCGCACCGGCGACGAGTGGCACACGGCCGGCGCACTAGCGGCGGGTCGGACCGCCCTCTCGGCGGCGACCGCGGTGCGCGCTGGCGGCGGCGGCGGCGGCGGCGGCTGAGGCGCACCCGCAGCGGGCGGGCGCGGGGCGGACGGAGCCACAGGCGGGGTGGGTTCCGTCAGAAGCGGCCGGTATGGGCGCAGGTAGCGGCGGTTACGCCACAGGACCCTGCCACTGGCCGTCTTGACGAGGTACGTGCGCCGCTGACCGACGCCCACGATCACTCCGATCCGGTTCCATCGGCCGGTGGCGGGGTCTTGAAGGTCGACCCGGCTGCCGATCTTGAGCGGTGACAGCCGGCGCGTGCTCTTGTTGTAGCACCTGACGGCCTGCTCCTGGAGCTCGGCAGCCTTTTCCTCGCAGACATCGGCCGCCCGCTGCCACTCAGGAGCGAAGGCGCGGTGGTGCGTGGGAACACCAGAGCGAAGCGGGTGACCAAACAGCACCTGTGCCGGCGACCGTCCGTCTGCTCGGGGCGTGTTACGGAGTTCGAGCAGACTTCGGTCCAGTTGGTCCTGGTCGAGCCGGCCCGATGAGGACGCAGCCAGCACCAGCTTCTTCGCTGTCTTCACGCAGGCCTCCGCGTGCCCGTTAGCGCGCGGGTAGTGCGGTGACGACATCTCATGTCGTACGTCCCAGCGCTGGAGGAACCGGCGGAGCGTGCCTGATGCAAACTGGGGTCCGCCGTCTGACCGGAACACGGTCGGGACGCCCGTCTGCGAGAACATCAGTCGGAGCTGCCGCGTCAGATGGTCCGCCGAGGCCGTGCGGGGACACACCGTGACATACGGCCACCCGGACAGCCGGTCCACGTACACCAGGTACGTGTGTCCTCCAGCGGAGAAGTAGTCGGCCGAGACCGACTCGAAGACGCGTGTCGGTGCGCCGTCCTCCTGCCACATCGGCTCCCGGGCGTGGCTGGGCAGGCGCTGACGGCACTGAGCGCAGGCGGCGACAGTGTCAGCAATCTGCTTGTCGATGCCCGGCCAGTACACACTGAGCCGAGCACGGCGCTTGGTCCTATCAACGCCCTGGTGTGACTCGTGGAGTTTCTCCAGCACACCGCGTCGGAGGGCGGACGGGATGACCAGTCGAGCGCCGTAGACCACCAGTCCGTCGTCGATGGCCAGCTGATGGCGCACGCCCCAGTACGCTCGTACTGCAGGGGGCGTCTCGTGCCGGTTCTCTGGGAATCCGGCCAGGATCAGCTCGCTGAGAGTCTGGTACTCGGTGTCGCGCTCCGCGGCGGCGCGGACTCTCTCCAGTGTGGAGTCGACCAGCGGAGCCAGCTGGGCGCCCTCCTCCGATCGAGCGGAGGCCTGCAGCGCGGCAATGACGCTGGCGTGCAGCGGGTCGTCCTCGGTGTCCACCGCTCCGTCGTCATTAGCGGCGGGGTCGCTGGTGGGCGCTCGCGAGAGCGCGTCTGGGATCACGTGACTCGATCCCTTCTGCCAGCTGGTGGTGAAGCTGTAGGCCAACAACTTCTCTCTCATCCGCTGCAGACGCGGGTTGTCGATCGAGTTGAGCTGCTTGTAGTTTAGAATGGTCACCAGCGGTCGGTGGTCGACCACCAGGTCGAAGTGGGGCATGCCAGCCAGGTAGACATGGCACTTCTTGCAGGCCCAGAGTACAGCAGCCAGCTCCAGCTCGATTACAGCATATCGGCTCTCGGTATCGGTCAGGAACCGTGAACCATACTGGACCACACGCCAGTCCTCGCCGTGCCTCTGGAGCAGTGCAAAACCCAGTCCTCGGGTTTTAGCAGCGTCCGTCTGTAGCACGGTCGGCAGCTGGGGGTCGAAGAATGCCATCACCGGCGGTGACGACAGCACAATCTTGGTGTGCAGAAACGCTGCCTCGTGTTGCTCAGTCCAGCGCCAGACCCGGCGCGACTTGAGGAGGTCTCTGAAGGCCTGAGTCGAGTCAGCCAGCTCCGGTGTGAGGCCGCTCAGCTGATTCACCAGACCCATGAAGGACCGCAGGTCGGTGACGTTCTCCGGTCTCGGGAAATCAGCGATGGCGCGCGCCTTTTCATTGTCGGTGGTGTAACCGGCCGGGGTGATCTTGTAGCCGCAGAATTTGACCTCATTCTGGGCGAACTTGAACTTCAGCGGGTTCAGCGTGATTCCTCGGTCGTCACAGCGCCGGAGGATTTCGATCACCTGCTGCAGGTGCTGCCGGTACGTCTGTGCCACGGCCAGGATGTCGTCGACAATCTTGACACAGTTTGGGATGTCGCCGAGCGCGGCATCGCCGCGCCGGTTGTACTCGTCTCCAGACGCACTGCATCCCATCGGACAGCGGACGAACTTGAACCTGCCCCACGGCGTGATGAAGCAGGTGAGGTCCTGACTTGACTCAGCGAGCGGCACCTGGAAGTAGCCCATCTTGGCGTCCAGAGTCGACATCCACCGGTGCCCGGCGGGCAGACTCGTCACGGCATCGTGAGGAGACCGGCAGGGGTACGTGGGTCGATTCACGTACCGGTTGAGTCCCGTCAGGTCCACGCAGAGTCGAAACCCGGACGGGTTCTTCGGCACGCACGAAATGGGATGGCACCATTCCGTCGGGTAGTCCACAGGGACGATGACGCCGCGGTCCAGCAGGTCGTCCAGCTGCGCCTTTACCTCGGCACGCCAGGCGAAGGGGATCGGTCTCGCAGCGGTGACCGACGTCGGACACGCGTCGGGGCGGAGTTCGATCGTCATCGGACCGCCGTCCATGACTCGAAGAGTCGAATCTTGCCCGAACACACGCGGGAAACACTCCACCAGAGCGGCTGCATGAGCTGCACGGACCGCCTCTGGTGGGTCTGAGTCGCTGTCCCAGGCCGGCAGCGGACCGCTGAGGCCGGCGGCCGGGCCGGGTCCATCGGCCGGCGGCGCCGGCGCGCCCGTCTCGGTCCCGGTGGCCGGACAGGGCCTGTCACGCGGCGCCTCATACGGGGCCGAGCGGCCGCTGGCGCTACGAGCGGAGCCGGCAGCGGCCGGCGGTGCAGACGGTGTGACGTCATTAGAGGGTGTGACGTCACCAGCGGATGTGACGTCAACAGAGGCCGTGACGTCATCAGCAGGGCGCGGTGCGTCCTCGACGGACCGGATCTGTGCCGGAAAATCCCTCGGCAGAATCCCCAGCGCCACACAGTCGAACCAGCTGAGTAGCAGGCCAGTCAGCTCCCTGATGACGAACACGGCAGCGGTGGTCGATCGGTCGCCCAGCTCCAGAGTAGCCCGGAACGACCCGACACAGGTGAGCGGCTGTTTCCCTACTGCTGAAAATGGCTGGCCGATGCAGGGCTCCAACTGCGCTGGTTCCACGCAGATGGAAGACAGGCTGTCTTCGCCGATGACTGTCGCCTCGGCGCCGGAGTCGGCCCGGGCCGGCACGGTGAACACACCAGCCGGCGTAGACAGTCGGACAGTCACAGTGGGAGTCGGCCGCGTCGAGATGCCGTTCACGTAGACGTCTCTGATGATACGGCAGATGCGCGGCTCTGACGGCTGCCCCACCGCGGGCCGCGCGCGCTCCGGTGCTGCGCGCTCGGCGGGGGCAGCGGCGCTCTCGCGCGCCACCTGGGCGCACACCACTGCAAAGTGGCCGCGCTGGCCACACGAGTTGCAGATGGCGCTAGTAGCGCGGCACGCCGCCGGGTCTGCGTGGGCGGCCCGCCCGCAGCGGCAGCAGCGCGCGCCGGCCGCGCCCGCGGAGCGCCCGCCAGGTTGGGCCGCGGGGCGCGCCTGGGGGCGGCGCACGCCGGCCGTACCCGCGGAACGCCCGCCGGGTTGGGCCGCGGGGCGCGCATCGCGCGACCTTGAACGGCGGTATGCCGACAGACGGCTCACTGACGCCGTCGGTGAGCGGAGGTCGGAGCAGGTAGCCCGGGCGTTCTCTGACGCACGGCAGATGTCCACCGTCTTCTTGAGGTCCAGCCCCGGATCCTCCAACAGACGCTTCACCGTCTCCTCGTCCCGCAGGCCACACACAATCTTGTCACGCAGGCGTGAGTCGTAACAGTGTGTGCAAAAGTCGCAAAATGCCGCGAGCTCCTTCACTTCGCACAGAAACTCCTCAAAATTCTCGCCCTGCTCCTGGACACGGGCGTAGAACGCACGGCGGTCGACCAGGACACTGCGCTGCTTACGGAGATGACTCTCCATTGCGTCTACCACCGCGGAGAGGGGAGAGTCGTCCGCTATCGTCAGTCCATAGCGCAGCACCCGGTGCCAATCTTCGTCGAGAAGACTGAGAAGGGCAGCTCTCTGGGCAGTGACGGGCAGCGCGGACGCGCCGGTCAGAAGCATGTACCCGTCCAGCTTCTCCCTCCATACAGCGAAGTCGCGCAGGGATGTGGAGGACGACAGCTGAGGCGCCGGCGTTGCAGCAGCAGGCAGGCGCACGGGCGGGGCGGCAGCCGACGTCCGGGCGGCTGTCGCCGCCGAGGCATCGTCGGCAGCGACGGTAGCGGGTGGCTGTCGGTCGGCGACCAGTCGCTCCACCATCTGAGTGAGCCGCTCCTCGCGCTGCGCTGAGTCTCGCTCCCGCTGCGCCGACAGCTCCGCCTGCTGCAGGAGCAGCTGCGTCAGTTTCTCAATGTCACTCATCGTCACAGATCACGGCGCGCTATACACTAATCACTGATACACTGATACGCTGATCACTGCGCGCACGCACGGAACCATCTACCGACCGCGCCATGTTATGTTCGTGATTCACGGTTCGAGTGAGAGAGAGCTTAAGAGAAACGCGATTTATTTACTGCCGGTGCGAATGGGCCGAGAGAGTCCTCCAAAAACTAAACAAGTATGGCGAGCGCCACGCCTAGTCGCCCGCGCCAGTCATGCCGCTTGGCGCGCACGATCAGCTGAGCGTCGGCAGGGGCGCTCCCAGGCACACAGAGGTGGGGCCGCAGAGGCGGTCCAAGTACACACCCCCTATACCCGAACACAACACAGAAAGCTAGCTGATGAAAGTTAGCAGATGAAAATAAACGTGCCCTTCAGTCAATTTTGAGCATCTCAAGCATCGCTACATGAAACAAACACTTTAAGGCAAGCATTGGAAAGACGACAGTGGACGAGCACTCACATTTCCATCCGACAAGTGCGCGCTCGCAGTCACCGCGCTCAGATCCAACTAGACGCAGCGCGCGCAGCGGTTTGCGGTGTGCCTCCGCCGCCATCAGCGACTGATATCATCACCACAGGACGCAGTGCCTCCAGCGGCGCTCCGCAACGCACACAGCCGCGGATACTCGGCGATAAGGGCGGACACACCCGCCCGCCACCGGTCACATCAGACGTGACCACAGCCTGTCGAGTAACTCACACTCACAACACCGCTTTACAGCTGCACATTACGAGCCAAGGCTGTCCATGAAAAACAAACTTATCTAGCAGGTTCACGGGTCCTATGTCAGACGAATTCGGAACCGGAATAGGTTATTGCGTACAAGATTACTTAGATTACTTTACTACTGCGTCGGGTTACGTCGGGTTGAAGTAGGATACGTCAGTCATGGAGGCTGAGGCACAGTACTGTACTACACTGAATATGCTGTCACGATCCCTCGTCTTCGTGCTAGGTCGGTAATGCGATAAGTGGCATGCTGCTATATGAACATGGTATGATGTACGAGGCTATCCCGTCAGGCACGGCTCAGCGCTATGTCAGGTACGACACGAACTGTGGCTCGCTGGACTGCAGGTCCACGGTGAAGGTCTGCTCGCCGGTGGCCGTCTCCTCCAGCAGGCACACCGGCAGGTCCACGGACAGCGTCTCCACCTGGACGGCCTGCTGGTGCTGCGGCGGCTCCTGTGGCGGGGGATGAGGCTGGGACGGGACGGCGGCGGGAGCGGCAGACACCGGCCGGACCGCCACCCGCCGCCGGCCCCGCGCCGACGCCGCCTTAGGAGCAGGAGCTCCCGTCTGTTCGGCAGGAGCATCCGCAGTCGGCTGCTGCTTCTCCTGAGGGTCTGACGACGGCGTGGCTTCACTTTCCTTACGGTGGTAGATAGACATGTGTTTGTTGAGCGCCGTTTTCGAGATGAACGACTTGCTGCAGTGTGAGCAGTGCAAAGGTCGCTCTCCTGTGTGTCGGCGCATGTGCAACTGCAGGTTATCCGGCCGGTTAAAGGTCTTATCACAGAACGAGCACTTAAAGGGCCGCTCCCCCGTGTGGACCCGCCGGTGGTAACGCAGGGAGCTCAGCTTGCGGAACGTCTTGTCGCACTGGTCGCACTTGATAGTCCCGGTGTCACCGTGTTTGAGCGCCTGATGGTCGCGCAGGGAAGCCGCCGATGGCCAGGTCCGCTGGCAGATCTCGCAGAACTTGCGGCGGTCGCTGTTGTGCAGCCGCATGTGTGACACCAGGTGCACCCTCTGGGTGAACGCGCGGCCGCACTCGTGACACACGTGCTCGGCGGCGGTCGGCTCGTGCTGAGACACCTGGTGGTTCTTCAGGTGCTGTTTGGACGAGAAGCTCTGCCCGCACACGACACACAGGAACGGCTTGCTGTGCGTTTTGAGATGAGACCACAGACCGTGGCGGGTAAAGAGTTTGCCGCAGACGTCACACACACAATCCTTCTCTGAGTCTCCGTGAGTCCGCTCGTGGTGACGCAGACCTGGCAGCGAGGAGAACGCTTTACCGCACGCCTCACAAACAAACGGCTTTTCACCGGTATGTGTGCGCACGTGATCCGCTAGAGCAGTGGCGTTACACAGCCTTTTACCACAGTGCTCGCAGTCATGAAGGCCAGTGGTAGTCCCAGACTGCGCGGGTTTGTCTACTGCAGCAGGGACGGTCTTCTCCACGGGGCTAGGTGTCGCATCGAGCTCTGCAGCGAGCGAGCGCCGAGGTCGACCGCGCCGCCGAGGTCGCTGCAGCGCCATCGGTGACTTTACGCCTGGTTTGTAGTCGGGGTCGTCCGGGTCTTCTGTTGCCAACGGCGGCGGAGGGGGCACCGGCAGCGGGGGACATCGGCTCGTAGGAACGGCTGTGATCGTCAGGTCGGCGTCCAGAGGTGCGATCGTGGCGAGTCCAGTCATCAAATCCTCAGTGCTGGAGTCGAGCTGACTTACACGATCAGAAACATTCGAATCAGCCGGCGGCACCAGTCGGGACGCACCTGCCGCCGAAAATTCCCTACCCTCCATCGGCCGGTCTACTGCGAGCGCCACAACCGGTGAGCCAGCGATGACCGCTGAGCGGACGCTCCCTGGATTCACATACACAATCAGCTCGGCGTCAACCGGTGGTTCGCGAGGATGCTCCTCAACCACTGGACCTGCCGGCGAGACCTCACTGACGACCTCCGCAGGCAGCGGCGGCTGCGGCGGCGGCCGATGCGGCTCGGCCGGCGTCGTATTACGCCGTTTCCGCGGCCGAGTCTGTGCGTAGCTCTCCGTCGGCGACTGAGTTTCGGTCATCGTCCTCCGTCGGCCAGCGCGCCTCGGTTTCGGCGCCGGCGTCTCGGTCGCGCCCAACCCGTCTGCGTCCATTTTTTCCATCGGGAGGAGCTTGAAGTCGATCCAGGCGGACAGCCGCCGTCTGAACTGCTCAGCAGAGGGCGCCGCCGGTGTCTCCCCGCCGTAAATGTAGTCCAACACACCATGGAGATCCTCAGCGCTCAGCGTCGGCAGCACGAGCCGGTCCGGACTGGCGAGACTGGCCGGGAGACGCACGGTCGCAGAATCCCCGCTGAGCGACCGAGATCGTACCGACACATCGTCCGCGCAGTCGGCCGCCGTGGCAGCACCGTCACCAGCATCTACTTCCCCCGGATCCAGAGCGGCGGCCGCTAGAGTCTCGAACGTCCGTCTGACCAGTGGCGAGTACATACAGAGCGCCAGCTTGTGCGCGCTGACTGGTACTCCGCCGGCGGGCAACAGGGTCACGCTGGTACCCACGCCGGCCCGTAGCAGAAGCAGAGCCTCGGCTGGTAGCCCGCAGCCGCGCCGGCACCGTACAGTTTCGCTGTATGGCGCCGGCCTCCGATCGGGCGGCAGTGGCGACAACACTGGCGGGGGCAGGACCGAGTCGCTCCCGGCGCCCGGTGTGAGAGGCACCTCCACCGCCAGCAGCAGGGCGGCGAGTCGCCCGGCGCCGAGCCGTCGGCACAGCTCCACCAGCGGCGCCGCCTGGGTCGCGTTCAGCCGCGCTCCGCCGGCGGGCCGCTGCAGGAGCGCCACCAGTCGCTGCACGGCCTCTGGTGGCGCGGCGGGCAGCAGCAGCGCACCGTCCGACAGCCGCTGCGGCGGCGGCAGACTCGAGAACGAGAGCAGCGCCAGAGGAGGCAGCGGCAGCGCGCGCCGGCCAGCGGCGAACACAACGGCGCAGGGCGGCAGCGGCGGCGGCGCGCGCAGACAGGCTGCCACGGCTGCCTCCATGCCCGCCTCGGTCAGACGCAGCGAGAAGCGGCCGGCGCGCCGCTCGCTGGTCTCCACCACCAGCCGGTCGGCGTCGTCGGCGGCGGCGCGCAACACCCGCTGGGCGGCGCTCAGGTAGCGCGCCGAGCAGGCCACCGGCACGACGCCGCCGCCGGCCGGCCACGGACCGTCCGGACGCAGCCACGACAGCAGAAAGCGCGGGAAGCCGATGCGACGCGGCGCCGACGGCTCCGGTGTCAGGAACACGTCACAGAGCTCGTCCCAGCGCGAGCGGAGCGCGCACTCCTGCAGTGCCAGGAAGGAGGCTTCGTCCAGCATGGTGCCACCGTCTGAAAGGATGCAGGGTCTTCAGCTGGAGGCTTGCTGACTTGCAGACCCTCACTGCCATGGAGCTAGTGCTTTCTGTTTCTCACTGGATGGACAGGCAACATATCTTGGCATGCAGCTTCAGCTGGCTTTAGAAATAATGCACTCTAAAACAAAATCAAGTTCCAATTTTTTATTCACCACAGTGCAGGAAGAAAAAGGACAACAAAATGTACAAGTTTGTGACAGTTTGAATATATTTCTTATGCAAAAGGAAACAGGAACTAAAACTGGTGATGGTCATTGACCTCACCAAACCTCCAGATTCTCTAGATTCACTGATCAGTGACAGTACAGGCTAGGTACAGCCTACAAAGGCATTAGTTGAATGGAATGCAGCTTCAAAGTATTTACCTATTGATCACAATTCACAGCTTACTAAAGCTTTATTACCAAACTACAAAGGTAGGTAGCATTCACAACAAAATATTGACAGACCTCAAACTGCCAGACTTAAAAACAGCTTGGGGTTGGGAATACTGAAAAAGATATTGAATGACCAAAAGCTAGTTACAGGTACACCATTTATAACTTTACTACTTAACAGCAGAAAAGACAACAAAGGAAATGAAAAAAAAACACAACACAGTCAGTGTTCTAAAATTGGATATTGGTTGGGTGTGCCGATGAAGAAAAAAATCCTAGGATGAGAAAAAAGAAAGTGAATAACTGCAGTATTTTTTGCAAAATGGTGTAATGCCAATTTTTATGCTAACTGATGAACCAGGATTTCATGTCAGGATCTTGACTGGGTGTGGAACAAAAGGATGTGGGTGCATCAACTGTCAAGTGACAAGTGAACTGGCTGTTGGGAATACATCATGAAACTCTTTTCAGAGATGAAGTAAAGTCGGTCATTCATATTTTAGGGATGAAAATATTTTCCCCATTAGGTGTGATTTGCCACCAAAAAGGCTGAAAAATGAAACACTGAACACAGTCATTAGTGGGTAAGAAGTATATCAGCATAAGACGACCAAGACTAAGAGCAAAAAAAGTGAAAAATGTGACCTGATGTGATTTATCTACTCGCAGTGTCTGGCTAGATTGAGTTTTTCTTCTGAGCTCAGTAGGCGGAACTATGGTCATGAGTACCCAAATATAGGAACGTTCCCATTTTTGGGAACGGAGTTCCCAAATATGGGAACGGGCGTTCCCATTTATGAGAACGGAAGGCAATTTTTCGGCCGTTCGCCCACTAAAACTCAAAAGTGCATCACGTCTCAAAAAAGTGCACGCTGATTTAAGTATCTACTAAATCTCCATAAAGTTGTCTTTAATCTGACCGTGGAACAAGGAAATTGACCGTGGAATGATATTTTTAATGATTTTTTAAAAATGACAGAATGGTGGAAATATGGGTTATACGACATTTAACATGCAATTTTAAGGAAAATGAAGCATTTTTTACATTTTGAGGTCAAGTATAATAATTTTCGCCTGGTTATGAAGTTTCATTCTAGCGACACCAGATGCTGACATATGCAAGCGAACACGCGGACAGTCCCGAGGTAATATTGTTGACTTTTGGTGTCGGGGCGATCGACCGCGTGGAACGTCAGTGATTTTACCGAACTACTGTTGTAAACTCAGTTTCAGTGGTTTAAAATCATTCAGCTGTATTTTATCAGCCCTGAAAGACATATTTTATTTGGATGCTAGCTGTTTAGCGTTGTTTTATAAGCAGCGTCATGAGCGTGGTTTTTGTCTTCGGCGTTTCTAAGCATGATCGTTTGGGGGAATTTCTCTGATATAGGTCGCTCTGTGTGGCTTATTTATAATTTTTATGCTGATTTCGATCATACCTCGTGCCCATCCTACCAGGCCTTTTGCCACTTACACTCATTAAGAAAGGAAAAAACTAGATTTTCATTGGGACTAGGTGTTTTGAGGGTGTAACATATTCAGCGTTCCCATTTTTGGATACTTCTTGTGCTCGTCAACTCTCGGTGATTAGCAGACAGGTGCTTGACATGTCTCCACCCTCGGCGCGGACGGTGGATATAGGTATGGAAGACCTTGTTGAACATCGCTGAGCGTTGTGGATTACGTAATCCTGCAGAGGGGGGCGTGCCCGCTGCGAGATCGACGGGAATAAAAGCGCAGAAGACCGGGCGAAACATGCAACGGTCTTGCGGGAAAGGTCATCTGATGATTGTTGCGTTAACAATAATTTGCGGCGTTGGACGTGATGCTTGTTAATGAAAAGAGCCCCTGAAAGGCTTCGGTGAAATCGTTCCCAATTTTGGGTACGCCGTTCCCATAATAAGGAACGCTTGCAGCGCCAGTGTACGAGAGCGTTCCCAAATTTGGGCTCGCGGCCCGGGTGATGGACTGCTTTAGAAATAGGGGAACGATTTGAAACTACGATGGGCCTTACAATATCAAACTCTTTCCCAACAATATTGAGACAACTATCAGGCGGTTCACGATCGTTTTATATTTTTTGGACGTCATTTAAGAGTTCTTTTTCTTGTTTTAAATAATGCCTACATGGCGTTCCCATATTTGGGTTTATCGTTCCCAAACATGGGAACGAAAATGCGTTCCCGAAAATGGGTACGCTTGACCATAGTTCCGCCTACTGAGCTGAATTTCACCCAGGCAAGCAGCACGTGATAAAAGAAAAATGAGCATTTTTTGATTTTTATGAGCATGATAACAGAAAAACATTTCACATCAACAAAAAATTATAAATATGGTGCATGTCAGTTGAAATAAACCAAGTTGAAGTTAAAGTATTGCTGGTAAAAATGCATCTTAGCTTCAGTATAACTGGCCTGGCAACATCCGCCCTCACCTGAAAGCCTCTTGATTGCTGGTTTGCTATGATTTGAGAAGCAAATCCATCTTCTTACTCTATGCAGGATAGTCGTATCTCTATAGATGGCCTTGGTCGTATCATCATTATTAAATATATCAGAACGTGCACTGTGCAGTGAAACACAAACAAAACTCAAACAGCATCGCCTCAGGACAGTGCTGACACACAAAAATAAGGCAAAATAACGTGGCGAGCATTGGCGCAGCAGCTACAATCAATGATGGGCCAATGACGTATGAGAACTGGTCGTCTTTCAACCAATTGAAAATAAGTGCACACATTCAGTTTGAAACATTTGGGACAATTTGAAAAACATTATCAATATTTCAGAATCAATGTATAATTGTTTAGGTATTTTGATCAAAAAAATATTCTATGACATAAACAGCGACTTCAAAAGCGAACATTTTATACAAAATTATGACGTAATATATCAGCATCTCTAAAGCCGCAGAAGAAACGCAAGGCCCTATATACCAGGTAGGGTCGTCCGGCGATTCTACCTTTTCGTGACGTCAGATCGTGACGTCATTTGGAGTCAAGTCTCGAAGCCCCGTTCAATCTCCATGTAAATGAGCGATTTTCGAAGCACTGTAGAATGAAGTCTGCACAAGATATATCAAACCTAAGTATCTTACCTGAAAGAGCAGACAATTTTCTGCAAGTTATCTATTACGTGTTTTTCGCTAAATCTTTTGCTTTTTTCACAAAAGCGTAAAATGTCCCCCCATGTCTCCGCAGCCTCCCTGCCGCCGGCCGCCGCGCGGTCGCGGTAGTGTAGTGGTTAGCGTGCCCGCGCAGTATTCCAAAGGTCCCGAGTTCGAATCTATGCGGTGCGGAACTTTAATTGCAATTCCAAGCTGAATATACGCACATCCATAATAAATTATTATTCGTATAGCTAAACTGTCACCAAGCTATCCATATAAATTGACTTCACCCAAAATATCGGCAAGATTCTATTAAAATATAAATTCAAATATGGCGGCTTGGACTGCCGCGTGCGTTAGGCTCCGCCCATATGCCCATATGCCCACATGCGTGACGTCATTCGTGTTAGTGGACACACGCGGAGATAGGGGACGACATGGGCCTGGAAGAAACGATCCGAAAAGGGAAAACCTCAGTGTTGCGTGGAGCGTAGGATTTTCCTGGGGACTTGGGGACTTCCCGCGCTGGGAATCCCCGGTCCTCGTAAAGTGCAGTGCAGGCTGCAGGGCCGTATAAGAAGCGGGCCGGCCAAACTATGGGCGGAACTCAACCAAAACTGATGCAAGGCGCAAGCTCAAACGTGATGCGCGAGTTTTCCGAACCCATTGCCAAGTCCTTTCGCGTTCTGTGAGATTCTCCGTTTTCGTACCTAGTGGTGCCGAACGGATTTCTTTCCATATTAAAGCCAAGCCCTGCATCTCAAAGCTGTTGAAATACCGGTCTGACGCAGCTACTGACTATCGAAGGGCTGTCCCATGGTAAACACAAATAGCTACTTGAGAACGCCCCTATGTAGACTCCGGCCATCTGTAAAAACCGCATCCAGAGTCAGACATCTGGCGCATAATCCATATCACCTGAAACTGTATTGCATGTTAGGTCTTTGAATGCTGGGAACGAGGTAACTGGTGGTGATAAAGAACACCATTTCGTCATTTGTCGAATTGGCAGCGTATCACAATTCACAGCTCACAAGCTCAAAGTGAGCTACAAGAAGCAGTGTCAAATGGCGTCCCGCGAACGAATGCAAACGACGGTAACACCGGGAGTAGTATCGTTATCGTAGGTTACATAACCGACTCCGCCACCGACCCGTACCACTCGCCTATCACCGAGCTGCCAGAGCTGAGCCCCCACGCGGCCCGCTCACTGTCCGGGCGGGGCCGACTGCACGCGGATCCGGCCCGCCTCTGTCACAGTAGTCATCCCCATCCTGCGCAGCTCCTCGGCGGCCGCCGGCGCCACGCCCTCCATCTTCAGCTCGCTGATTTCGCGCTGGTTCTCGGGGCAGAGTTCGCACAGGTTTCGCACGGCCACCACGGCCCACTGCTGCAGCAGCGGATTGCGCGCGTCCAGGTTACAGCACTCGAGGACCACGGGGATGGCCCGGCAGCGGCGCGCCGCGTGCTGCGCGGACGGCCGCCGCCACACCAGGTTCCCCAGCAGGCGCACCAGCTGCGCCTTCAGGCCGAACGTCGGCTCGGCGCTCAGCTCCTCGGCGGCGCCGGTGCGCTCCAGCTCGGCCAGCTTCCCCAGCGTGCTGAACGCCGTGCCCTCCTCCTTGCTGAGTTCGTGGACCTCGCGTAGGATGCGCACCACCGCCTCCAGCAGGACGTCGTCCTTCTGCAGCACCGGCCTGAGCCGGTCCTCCGCCGACAGCACCCCCAGCAGCTCCAGGATCTTCTTCATCTCGATCGGATCGGCGGCCGCCACCGGCGACTGAGAGCGCGTCAGAAACCGCTCAGAGAGGAAGGTGGCAGCCTCGGCGGGCAGCTGCAGGCGATCGGCCTCGCACGCCACCAGAACCAGGTCCAGGAGCACCGCATAGTGCACCTCCGACACGGCACGGTACACGGACACAAATTCGGCGGCGCACAGCTCCTCCACGCAGAACAGCGCGAACTCCGAGTCTAGTGTCACCAGCATCAGCAGCATGGAGACCAGCGAGCCGAAGTCGGGCCGCGCCTGCAGACTCGCGCGCACCTCCCCGTTACCCTTCACCGTGTTGAACATAAGCATGGCGGCATACGCGGGCAGTTTCTCGTCGTTTGTCGAGAGAAGCTCGAGCATCTGATCCTGGAGCGCCTCCCAGACGGCGGCCTGTGCCGACTGGCCGGCTGACACCACGTTTCCCAGGAGCTGGACGGCGCAGCGGGCCGCCACCAGCCGCGGTTCAGAGTCGCGCGGCCGGCGCAGCAGCGCGGCCAGGTGTCCAATCAGCTCCCTGTCGGCGGCCAGTCGCTGCCGGTGCTCCGCAGACACCGCGGCCGCGTTCCTCAGGCAGCGCAGCGCCTCCGTCTGGGCCGATACTACGGCCGCGTCCTCTGCCTCCGCCAGCCTGACCAGCGCCGACACAATACCGAGTCCCTCCGCGGATAGACAGTCTGGGTCGGCGCGGAGACCGGCGGTCAGCTCCGCCAGATGACGCTCCGCCTCCGGCCAGTCCCCGGCCCTCGACGCGCGCTCAGCAGCCTCGGCACTCATAGTTCTGCAACTGCGTCACCCTCTGGTTCAGCCCGCGGTCCCACTAGCCGCGCGAGCGCCACCTCGCCGGCGGAGAGCAGACGTGCTATCTCCGCCTGGTCTTCCTCTCCGCAGCGCCGCTGGACTCCGAGTTTCCGTTCGAGTTCGGTAAGCTGAGAGACGCTCTCCCCGGCCTGTTCGGTGAGCTCGGGGCGGTCTTCGCGCAGGTGAGATACCGCGATCGCAGCACTGGCGACAGACGGGGACACGGGTCAGGCTGGATGCATACAGATATGAAAGCCACTTACGAGTGGTCAGAGATGTGTGAGTCACGGGGAAGGAAAGCATCGAATTATAAATGAGACACCATGAGTTCGTTAAACATCAATTCAGTTCCAATCAATTACATTGATAGGTGATTGGGGTAAAGAAATACCGATACCAAACATTGCATGAAGCAGATAGCCAATTCTGCCGAGTAGGTGATTTCCGCCGGACAACTTCCCAGGCCTCAGCACAAGTCGCACGTGACTCACCACAGTCGCCCTCTGAGCTGCGCGATCGGCCAGACCCGCTCCAGACCGTCCTTGTAGCCGACGTCAAAGTGCTGCTGCAGGTTCGACTCCTCGCCGTCGGAGCGGCCTTCTCTGTAGGCGTCCTGTAGAGGGAGAGCGGCGAGTCACAATATGATAGATCAGTTAGATGGCAGTAGATGGCAAACGTGACAGGATTGAGGATAAGCGCTTTTGGCAAGCGCTAGTTCCGCTTTTGATTTATCAAGGTAAATACTTCGAAGGACGTCCCGTGCAGTTTTGTGACATTTTTCGCACCACAGCCAGTACAGACATAAACAAAAGGACGTTTAATGGCGAACGTCGTGCTGGCGTGCACCGCACGATCACATACTAAAGGGTGCACCCGAAATCATTCACGCGGTGCACACGGTGCCTTTCGTCCTTTATCTCGTGCCTGGACGTACCGTTAGCAGCCGCCGCTGAGCCTTCTGCCAGTCCTTCCTCTCCAGCTCCAGCAGAGCCGAGTCGTCAGCGCCGTCCTCCATCCATTCAGTGGGGAGAACGAGAGATAATCAGACCTGAAACGGAGGCACACGTCAGGGAAGCATATGTGGCAGAGGAAACGGGAGAAAATATCAAGGCGTTTACTGTGCATGTTTGTGAGTGGTTTGAGTCAGGGAAAGGTCAGTAGACTTTGCCCCGTCTGCATACATTGCGAGCAGTGATGCCCTTGCACCTGGTTTGCGAAAACAATCAGACCAACTACTGGTAGTTTAAACTACCAGTAGTCTGATTGTTTTCGACTGTCTGTCGGTGGAGGGACTCGGTATCGTGTCGGCCCTGGTCAGTGGAATTCCAGTGACATGGATTATCAAAGCCAAGATTAATGTGAGCCGCCGTCAAGCTGTGGGTCGTTTTCCCCGTTCTAATCGGAGCGCAATGTTTTCACTATTGGCTCCTATGCGCGTATTTTCACCTTGACCAGCCAGCAAAACCCTGCCATTTCACTACGAAGTAGAATTCATAGATATTTCCGTCGTCCATTGTCATGCGACCAGCGAGACCCAAAGAAGAGTCAATAATTGGTGTATTGACCTTAAAACATGCAATATCATTTACATTGCATCACATTATCACCAGATATGCGCTGCACCAGCCACCGTTAGTGCTAACCAGCAGCGTACGAGGCGACTAAAAAACCATTTTAGTAAAGTGATCACTTATCGCTATTATCATCTTGGACGGAACACGCACGCACAGACCTGAATGTCACATTGCAATATAAATGCCTACTTGTTGTTCCTCATCTAACACATTCCATGTGCAGCTAGACCCGTAATATGTCAGCGCTTATTGTGTCATACCTTTATCTTTCGGCATAAATCTACCACGCCCGCATTATGCAGCTCATCGCACACAATCTACGTCTCTGCTGGCCTGCAGCATTGACATTTTTATCTACCCGTCACCGCTTATTGCCATGTAACACCAGTATAGGCCGGTGTATACCATCCATCATTCGTAGTACCGTAAAACGACAACCAACTTAACAAAATTATGTCCACTACATGTTAAAAGCACATAAGCTTAGCGATTTAGCGATCCCAGCGCGTTTACCCCAGTTTTGTCCTTTCTATCAGCAGCATGCTCATTGCTCAGTCCCTTGACGGAAAGTCCCGTTCGTCGCCATTAGTTCAGGTAGTCCTCTAGATCGGCCAGCCGGGGACAAAGGTGCGCCGGATCGACCCCCGCCTCTGGCGGCACGGACCCCACCAGCACCGCCTCCCAGCCGGCGGCACGCGCAGCCTCGTAGTCCAGTCGCACACTGTCACCGACGTGCGTGCAGCGGTCAGCACCCGCCGAGCGCCGCGCCAGCTCGAAAATTCGCTGGTCAGGCTTGCAGAACGGATACTCGTAGGACGCGATCACAAAGTCAAAGTACTGGCTCAGCTCGAACCGTTCGAGCAGCCGGTGCAGGCGCGGGTCGAAGTTGGACACGACTCCGAGTCGGATGTCGCGCGCGGCCAGTCGCTCCAGCAGTGGCACGGCCCCCTCTGCCGTGCGCCAGCACTCCACGCCGGCGTAGTCGGCCAGGAGGCGGTCGGCCACGGCGCCGGCCGTCTCGGAGCTCGGCGGCGTCGCGCTGGCGTCGGTCAGCACTCGGCCCACCAGCGTGGTCCACCAGCGGCGCCAGCCGCCGGCCAGGCCGCGCCCGAAGTTGGGCTCCTCCGCCAGCAGTGTGCGGAAGTGGTGCCGGAACGAGCGGTCGGCCTCGGGCGCCGAGACCACGAGTCCGTGCCGGCCGGCCACCGCCGCGTAGTAATCCCCCGGCGAATAGCGCAGCCGGATCAGCGTGTTGGTCGCGTCAAACGTGACTAGGCGGCTCATGGTGGTGCTAGAGACGACCGCAGACGTCCTCCTGCAGCAGGATCTGAGTTAATGGAACACAGTCCAAGGTCTTGGCTCCAAACTGTGAGACGTATAGCTGGCTTGGCTTCTGGCTGGCACAGATGACAGGTGTTGGTGACCAAGCTCTCTGGGCTAGGTGGGAATGACCATTTTGGCAACAATAAAATAATATATTTGCTCCTTTTGCTGATGTCTGCACCTTGACCTTGACTAATAAAGATATTTAATGACAATTAGAGTGTAGCAGTTGGCTACACTTCTTTGCTTCACAGCAGCATTGGTATAATTTTCATGACAGCCATTATTCACTAGACTACCATAAGCAAAAGAAAAAAAGCATCGCCATTTCCTATGTTAACACCATAATATAATAAGTCAGTATATTGTGTAGGTAGGTAGGTAGGTAGGTAGGTACCCAGTAAGTTACTACCTACTCAGCCTCACAGGGCATCATTTAACCCGCGCCCTGCTGGGGGGGGGGTGTTTGAACACCCCCCTTGTGGTTTTTCGCGAATATCTCAAAAACGGCGGCGCGGAGCGCCGCCGTTTTTTTTTTTTTACACCTTATCATACATCAATTCTACACATGTTGTGAAAATTTCAGACCAAGGTCATTCAAGGTCAGGTCACCAGGTCACTTGAAGTGACCTCACCTCATAAAAAGTTTCAATGTCTGTCATAGCTACACCGAGTGACCGATCGCTTTGAAACTTTCAGCGATTGCTAAGAGCAATAGCATGTACAAAATGTATATCTCAGAATTTTGATATCGATGACCTAAGGTCAGGTCAATTTTGCGACCTCCCCATTACAAGTCAATGGGAGAAAATTGAAATGCGCCTCTTTTGGACAAAAGACATTATAAACACTCCCAAGCACCGAATTACAAGTGGTTTAGACACACTGAACATGAAAATGGTGTCCGTGACCCTTGTTTATGCCCTGAGGTGATGAGGTCATCTTAGGTCACGAATGGTATCTAACAGTTTTTCGCAAATAACTTTTGATAGAGGCATGCTAGAGCGATGAAAACGCCTTAGATGTGTTCAGCTCGACGATACAGATCGAGGTCAAATTTTCAAGTTGACCTTCCAAGGTCAAGTTATAGTTCATTCGATGCGTCTTGACGAGAGGAACACGATGCCGGTAAAAGTAAGCTCGTACAAGGCTTGAGTCAAAAGTTATTGCAGACAAACTGTTTCCGAAAAAATAGGCTATTTTTGCAGTTTTTGCCCCCTGCAGGCAAAACTGTTGACGTTAGGTCAAATCTGAGAGAATTACTCAGAAAGGGCTTTAATAGGGCTATCGAATGCGCTTTTCCCCGGCGCTGTAGCTCTATTGGTTCTCGAGTTATGCGTTGGCTTCTTGGAAATTTTCTACATTCGACCTGGAAATCGGCAAAATTTTGCCTTCAATGACCTCTGGTGACCTGACCTTTGACCTGACCAAAAAATTGACCGAAGTGATTTCGTCATTATTTTTGATGCTCTTTCGAACGCCGCCTTCCGCGTATCGCTACGTGCCCCAGGAGCCGAGTTACAAGGGGGGGGGGTGTTCAAACACCCCCCCCCCCCCAGCAGGGCGTGGAAATCCAGGACCCCCAGCCGTGCGCGGGTTAATAGACTTATGCTTCAAGTAAATTACACACTTTCTACTGTGCATAGGTGGAGTTGAAGAAATTGAGGTGCCATGCTCAGGAATAGAGCTAGCTGGACTGCGAGACAGGCTTATTTACCTGTAAATTAGACGGGCAGACAAATTCATCCAAATCACGTACCATAAATTATTATTGTTATTATTACTATTATAATTGTTATTATTATGATTCCAAGGTGAAGGGAGACAGTGAACAAAATAGAATAATGACAATTGTTGAGGAAGTAGGTATAGCACAGTTTGAGTTGACAGGCATAGATGATAGAAATACGGTGAAAGGCCATTTTTTACTATCAAAATCCCTATTGTACTTACAGTCCAGCATTCAACAAATCCCTCAGAAATCCAAGAAATGGTAGTATATAGGACCTTGGAATATATTATCAAACAGTTTTCTCTAGCTCGACAAATAAGCGAATTGTCGCATTTGTCTATTCTCATGTAAGCATTCAAGTAATCGATCAATAAAATGATGACGACAAAATTAAGTGAGTGCTACTGACTCTCTAGCAAGTTGAAATTTTCAATAAGAGCCTTGGATTGGTTTATAAAAGAATGACGTCATTGATTTCTTCTCCGATGACTTGAGAGCTATGAGTAAAGTGCATGAAAAGGTAAACATTGGGAGTAGTGTGTTGTGATTAGGGGAAATAGTTGTGGTTTTCATGTCGAATAATGTCAAATTTTTGGAATTAAGCTTCCCACGCTTTTAGGTAAGGCCTTTAATATTACACCAAAACATCTGAGAATGACTGGTGTGTATTTTTATGTAGGTTGTGGTATGCTACAATTTCCAGGGGGCTATAAACACCTTACTCGACTTTCTGCACCATTCTGTGAAGTAAAATCATACAACAATGGATCAGATGACAGTAAGGGTTTAGTTGGACCGAATCAGTCTGGTGCTGTGGACTGCAGAGAAACTTATGGCAGAAGTAACATGGGTACTTGTGTTGGGTGTACCAGTACGTCATACCTACGCACAATGTACGAGTGCTATTTGTATTGGCAAAAGAAATGGAAAAACTGACCCTCTGCCACCATTTCAGGTTATTGGCAGCCCATTTTCTGTCTGTAATCATACTTGGTGGCTGGGAGGATGGAGCGTCAAACCAGTGTCAGTTTCATCTGCCAGAGGTGCTCCATGCCTGTGAGACTAGATGACACAATACTCAATCCCAATGAGCATACACTGGCTGAGCTATCATGTAAGTTCCTTAACTCCTAATTTTCTTGCTGGTATAGTAACAAATAACAATCTCATGAGCTCAGCCTAAACTCCAAGTACTGTTGTTGAATGCATATGCCTTCATCCACATTGTTTGATGAAGGAAGTTATAATTTGTTTGATAAGGGAAAGCAAGATATATTATTATTATGGATATTAATACTGGATATTATGTCATTTTCTGACTCAGATGATTATGATTTTTATTAAGTTAATTGGGTTTGAACAAGTTGTGCCACTTTTGAAAAAAAAATGCACACAACATGAGCAATGTGCAATGTGCATGCCCAAAGTTCACTTGGGCACCCATGTCCAGGCAAGAGTGCACATTCAGATGTGCAAACATTCTCAGAACTTCTGTCTGAGAATGTTTGCCCATCTGAATGTGCACTAGTCTTGCCTGGACAAGGGTGCCTGAGTGAATTTTGGGCATGCACATTGCTCATGTTGCATGCATTTTTATTTAAAACTGGCACAACTTGTACAAACCCAATTAACTTAATAAAAATTATTAAATATGACATTGTTAGGTCCCATCCAACTCTGCTCAGAAATAAACTTTTTGGCGTCAGTTTCGATATTCGATCTTATCCGCCCATTATCAGTCATTCAGCCCTATTCTCGATCTTCGATCTTTTACCGACCGTTTATCGATACGTTGGGGCCAGTCCGAACCCTTCATCTTTTCCCGTATCGATTTCGATCTTTCTGTGCCCGCACGGTGACTCGCACTTCTTTGGGCGTGTAATGTGCGCGCACAGTGCCCGAATCACTACCCGTGATTACTGTCGGTAATAACTACACACTTGACAGAGGTAGTGGAAGACTTGTCTGCCTACACTCCGAGGTTTCGTCGAACTCTGCTTTGTTTAGCAGACTAGGCATATTTTCGTACCTATGTGACGTGTCTTGGTGTGATGCACGTTTTTTTTGTTAGAACAACGAGTTAATCAGTCTCACTCTCTTTCATTACTGTATAATAACCCCAAGTATACAGTTTTAGCTAGTTATAACCGATAAGCTCCCTCCGCAGTGCCCATCTACCCGGCGACCGAGTCGGACCTGGGCTCCGGGGCGGGCTCCTTCGACAAGGTGGTGCCGCCGGTGCGGTGGACCGAGAGCTGCGGCTCGAACCCGGCCGCCGGCGGCGGCGCCGACTCCACCGGCTTCACGGTGCTCTCCGACCCGGGCGTCACACCCTCCGGACACCTGTCGCACAAGGTCAAGGTCAGTGACAGTCTGCCCCTAAATCCAGTCTGCCGCATAAGGTCATTGACATTCTACAGAAATGTCACTTTTTAGGCTCCTTATTAAATGAAGCATTGTTTTATAAAGCAACGTCATCGGTTAACAGCCTGCATCGATAGGTTGGACCCGTCAACTTGGTTGTAAGCAAATTTCTTCATCACTTACGATCAAAATATCGTCGAAGGCATCGTTCTGGCACGGACGACTTCCGTCAAATAGCAAAGGATATCGTGAGAATGTAATACGTCTTCTTGTACTAGTTTTGATAAATCTTGTACTTAGCATGATCTTCAAATAATATAGCAGTTCGTGGCATCGAACTTTAGATGGCCCCCACTGCGGTCCGTTTTGTCGTCAGATGGCGGCCACTCTGTTCGACATGCTCTCCACCAGTACCGAGGTGGACCACCCGATGTGCGAGGAGTGCACCGACCTGGTGACGGACGGCCTCGAGGAGGAGCTGGTCACCGTCCGAAAGGAGGCCGCCCTCTACCGCGAGTTCGTGCAGAAACTGAGGCGCGAGCCGCCGGCGGATGACGGCGAGGCGGCGCTGGACGCCGAGCTGGCCAAGGTGCGTGCGCTGGTCTGGCTGGTCTAGGGGACGGCTGTGGTTGTCGGGATATGAAGGAACGTTGGGCGTAGTCATAACCTTGAAATAAAGCGCTAAGGATGCTGAGCCTTAGGCTTACAACGGAAGCAGTTGTTTAATGTCGATTTTGTGACTATAGCTTTGTCTCTTATGGGCAGTCTGCTGTTTGTATGCTGGATAGCCTTAGAATGTGGTAATGCTTTGTGTTTACTCGTTGCTGTGTTTCAAGCTGCCCTGTGTGAGTGTGTAACTCTGCAAGACGGATAAGTTTTCGTAGTCTGTGTCGTGTCGTGTGTCGTTTCCGCAATCGTGGTCTATACCCCATCTCCTCTTCTCCCGCCCTTCTCCACACCGGCCAACCTGACCGCACTGGAGCTCACCACCGCTATCTGCGTCCACAGCTGGCGACCGAGGAGCAGCAGCTGCTCGGTGAGCTGCGCACCCTCAAACAGGAGGAGCAGCAGCTGCAGCACGAGCTGGAGCAGCAGGACAAGGAGAAGGAGCGGCTCGAACAGGAGGAGGAGCAGTTCTGGAGGGAGTTCTGCACATACCGCAAACAGCTCATCGTGGCAGACGAGGACTATCGCAGGTAGGGCGGGCAGCGAGGGAGTAACTTGGCATGGATCACAAACTGCAGACAAGGCATAGTCCATAAACCTGATAATTGGTCGTGGTTTTGGTAGATTTATGGTGGTAAGTAAATGTTTGTTAGTGTAGATCAGGAAACGCTTAGTCTTTTTTCGTCTTTGAGTTGCAGATGTCAGTAACAATTGGCCCACATTACGCATCCGGCCCGCATGTGGGCTCGCCTCGATTCCAATATTAATCGTGGGTCATCTACTTGGCGAGTAATCGAATATATCTCCTGCAGTTTGTCCAACCGCTTGGACTACACCACGCGGCAGCTGGAGAAGCTGAAGAAGACGAACGTCTTCAACGCCACATTCCACATCTGGCACAGTGGCCACTTCGGCACCATCAACAACTTCAGGTGAGTGAAGTGCACGCTTATTCAGCTCGTGTGTTGGTTTTTCGGCGCTGTGCAACGTCATATTTATGTGTGAAAACTTCATCCACATTAATCGATTACAGTAGGCGAAATGACAAATGTTTTGTTTCTATTCCTGGCTTTATAACAACGCATCTGTCAGAATGCGCTAATATGCGTCCAGGTTGTACGTCTTAATTCCTTTGATCGAACTTGCTTCTACCAGTATTGTGACAACGTCACGTTGACTAGATATTTTCCGATTCCAGGCTGGGCCGGCTGCCCAGCGTTCCCGTCGACTGGTGGGAGATTAACGCCGCCTGGGGTCAGACCGCCCTCCTGCTCACCGCACTCGCGCGCAAGATCGGACTCCAGTTCTCAAAGTACAAGATCGTGCCTTTCGGAAACCACTCTTATGTGCAGGTGAGCTATCGGTAGACTGATCAATAGGAGACTGAACTTGTTCATGATTGAACGCGCTTACTGATACTGCATTGATTGAAGCATGCGCAACATTTTTAATAACGATTTGATTTATTATACGGATGTAAACGTTGCAGTACGCTTTTCGACATGGGGCGGGGTCGTTGGTCATTCTCCACACTGTTGATAGAATTGAATCAACTACACCCACCCTCGCGCCAGAACGACTCCTTTTAGAAATCAGTATCGTATCTCCGTGTCGTGACGGTCCCATTCTCTTTTCCCTTTTGCTCAGGTTCTGGCGGACGGCCGCGAGCTGCCGCTGTACGGCGCCGGCGGGTTCAAGTTCATCTGGAACCCCAAGTTTGACGCCGCCATGGTGGCCTTCCTCGAGTGTCTGCAGGAGCTGCAGGTCAGGCTCCGGAGGCAGGCGGCAGCTGGTGGATGGTTTATAAAATATCTGGTCTGGTGCTTCCGTGTGGTGTTTGCTAGCTTTCGGTAATATGTAACTTATTTTGTTTCATTTCGTGTGCCTTGTAATTCTTTGTGTTGCTCCTTTTTCAAGTTTTTTTTTGTGCTTCAAAACGCTGCCTTGAATCTTGCACATTTGACAGAGCTATTTTGAGTGCATTTTTGGTTGTTACTGAATTACTTTTGTCACTTTTAAGGATCGTATTTTGGTTTCCAGGAGAAAATAGAATCCGGCGATGCCAAGTTCCGTTTGCCCTACAGAGTTTCCAAGGGAAAAATCGAGGATCCCCAGGCGGGCACTGCATACTCTGTCAAGTAAGTACAGGGTGTCTGAGAAAGCGCCACCCATTGAATGCAGTTGGTGTAACTTGGGCTTGAATGGTGGCTTGAATCGCGACATATTGTGCCTGCAGGCGGGAGATAAAAACAGCAGATGTTGTTTAACCTGCTGACCAGCGACTGCTGACGTTGCTGTCGCTGGTCAGCGGTTGAATTATGATTGATAGGTCAGCGTGTCTGTCCATATTTTAATCGCTTCTGAGTTCTGACTAACCGTGCGTCGTACATGCTCTATTGATAATCGCAACTGACGTACGTCAGGAAAGGGGTTTATTGCTCTCATCGCCCTCACCAACACCGTTATGTTTCCACCCAGGATCCAGCTCAACTCGGAGGAGCACTGGACCAAGGCGCTCAAGTACATGTTGACCAACCTGAAGTGGGGCATCGCCTGGGTGTGCGCCGACTCTACGCTGGGAGAGCTGGCGCCGCCCGAGCCTGGCGAGCAGACGTAGACCGACGTCACGGCGCAGACGGACCAACGTCACGGTGGAGGCGGACCAACGTCACGGCGCAGGCGGACCAACGTCACGGCGCATACGGTCGTGGAAGCTGAACGTCGCGACGGTGAAGAAATATGTGAGAGAGATGGATATCGGGACTTTGCGACCGGGGTGTAATCTCTGTCAGAACGTTCGAAGCTGGCGAGAGATTACAGTCGGAGCAGCGAACACGGGGTGGGGAGAGTGGCTGGGGGGAGGAGGAGGGGACTCTCGGCTGTCTTCTTGACGGTCGAAGGCGCCGCCGAGACGTCTGGTCCGGTGGCTGGCTGTGATGAAGTTCCGTCGTAGCTTGTAACTTGGTGGCGACTTATTACCCCTTCAGTTTGGTCTCAGTCACAAGAGTGGCTGCATGAACTTGAGCTCTGGCTCAGTGGGCCTTCGTGGTTCGTACAGAGGACGGGCGACATTTGCCGGTTGTTTGCCGTGTAACATTTAGTCCATTCTACATATACTGTAATGGATGAATGCGAGGTATTCTTGGTATCGCTGTGTGATGACTGCTGCGGTGTGTATGTATTCCATCAGCCGTGGGTTGTGTGCTTTCAGATGGAGTTTGATTACCGTTTAAGAAGAGTAAATAGGCCAGTGTGTACCGATTGGGGAGATAAGTTGCGCCCATACATGCCATTTAGAAGTAAAGTGTATATTTGCAGTACTACTATGGTTAGGTTTTTGTCATCATGACTGTTGAACGCGTGTTTGTCACGTGTGAAATTATATCCAGTGGTGTTTGTTGTACGATGTTAGTATAACGAGTGATTGTTTGCCCCGATGAAATGTACAAATGTCAACGAGGTGTGTGTAATATATTTCTATCTGTGCGTATGCGCTGACGTTTCTAGAACCAACTTTCTTACATTTCAAAAAATGGGAACCAATGTCTTCGCCTCGGGGATCAGTGGTATGGTAAATGGATACGGCGAGTTCTGCCTGTGCTCTGGATGAACATCAGGAATGAAGATGCCGGTTTTGGTGGTGAACCCGGAAAAAATAATTAATTTTTGTTAAAATAACAATGAAATAATATAAATAACGGACGCTGAATGATATGCAAAACAAAATTGTAGTACCTACTGTGTCTGTCTAGTGTCTCCTCAGGCTCCTAGTACTCTATGACCGTAGTTTATATAGCCTTGGACCGTGCTCAGTACGGGCATTTCACTGGGACATTTTATAATCAAATCCTCAAATCGGCGAGCAAGTATTGAACTTTGAATTTTGGGACTATTTCACTTTTTAGGAAACTGAAAACGGGGTATGATAAATTGAAATGAATGTGAGGAACTGAGAAGGGCAAATAATGTGATTATTATTTTCGCACTTGACATTATTTGCATGCAGCACGAAATATACGGCGATTTTTTTAATTAGTAGCAGCTTTCTTCTTTTGATTGGTAGCTAACTCTGCGCTAATGTTTCATTTCTGGCTCATAATTGTTCTCGTTGTTTTGTTTTGCTTTCGTCTTACCGGTCGTACCTTATTTCAATTTGTATTGTTGGGTCGGTTCATCCGGTTCATCACTTTTTGACAGATAAAAGTTGGGTCAAGTTGTGTAAGTACTTCCATAAAGTATGTAAAAATTTGTCATATGTGTATTTTGATACGTCAGAGGTCATTTAGTACATGAAGCATTTCAGCATTCATTCATATTTTCATTTCAGCCCTTTCCGACTGTGACTTGCCATGTGACTTGCTAAGCTGCTACAGCTAGTTGTTTGCGAATTTGAATTGAAATTGCAATTACTATCTCATTTGTTTTTCTTTTTCACCTGCATTATTCATCAACGGAACTGTGCAATGTGATTTGGATTGGGATGACCGAGCAATGCTTGCCAGCTTATAAGTTATAGGTAAATTAGTTTAATTCTCAGTAGGTTATGCTATGGTATTGCTTTAATTAAAAATCCCAATCAAACTACAGCTAGGTAGGTATTTCGTGATTTTTATGAACATTTTTAGAGGGTAACAACTAACAAGTTCATGAGAACTCAAACTGTACTCCACAGCAGTAGGCGGAACTATGGTCAAGCGTACCCATTTTCGGGAACGCATTTTCGTTCCCATGTTTGGGAACGATAAACCCAAATATGGGAACGCCATGTAGGCATTATTTAAAACAAGAAAAAGAACTCTTAAATGACGTCCAAAAAATATAAAACGATCGTGAACCGCCTGATAGTTGTCTCAATATTGTTGGGAAAGAGTTTGATATTGTAAGGCCCATCGTAGTTTCAAATCGTTCCCCTATTTCTAAAGCAGTCCATCACCCGGGCCGCGAGCCCAAATTTGGGAACGCTCTCGTACACTGGCGCTGCAAGCGTTCCTTATTATGGGAACGGCGTACCCAAAATTGGGAACGATTTCACCGAAGCCTTTCAGGGGCTCTTTTCATTAACAAGCATCACGTCCAACGCCGCAAATTATTGTTAACGCAACAATCATCAGATGACCTTTCCCGCAAGACCGTTGCATGTTTCGCCCGGTCTTCTGCGCTTTTATTCCCGTCGATCTCGCAGCGGGCACGCCCCCCTCTGCAGGATTACGTAATCCACAACGCTCAGCGATGTTCAACAAGGTCTTCCATACCTATATCCACCGTCCGCGCCGAGGGTGGAGACATGTCAAGCACCTGTCTGCTAATCACCGAGAGTTGACGAGCACAAGAAGTATCCAAAAATGGGAACGCTGAATATGTTACACCCTCAAAACACCTAGTCCCAATGAAAATCTAGTTTTTTCCTTTCTTAATGAGTGTAAGTGGCAAAAGGCCTGGTAGGATGGGCACGAGGTATGATCGAAATCAGCATAAAAATTATAAATAAGCCACACAGAGCGACCTATATCAGAGAAATTCCCCCAAACGATCATGCTTAGAAACGCCGAAGACAAAAACCACGCTCATGACGCTGCTTATAAAACAACGCTAAACAGCTAGCATCCAAATAAAATATGTCTTTCAGGGCTGATAAAATACAGCTGAATGATTTTAAACCACTGAAACTGAGTTTACAACAGTAGTTCGGTAAAATCACTGACGTTCCACGCGGTCGATCGCCCCGACACCAAAAGTCAACAATATTACCTCGGGACTGTCCGCGTGTTCGCTTGCATATGTCAGCATCTGGTGTCGCTAGAATGAAACTTCATAACCAGGCGAAAATTATTATACTTGACCTCAAAATGTAAAAAATGCTTCATTTTCCTTAAAATTGCATGTTAAATGTCGTATAACCCATATTTCCACCATTCTGTCATTTTTAAAAAATCATTAAAAATATCATTCCACGGTCAATTTCCTTGTTCCACGGTCAGATTAAAGACAACTTTATGGAGATTTAGTAGATACTTAAATCAGCGTGCACTTTTTTGAGACGTGATGCACTTTTGAGTTTTAGTGGGCGAACGGCCGAAAAATTGCCTTCCGTTCTCATAAATGGGAACGCCCGTTCCCATATTTGGGAACTCCGTTCCCAAAAATGGGAACGTTCCTATATTTGGGTACTCATGACCATAGTTCCGCCTACTGACAGGAGATTGTTAGAATTGGAATGGAATCATATAAGTTATTTATTGTGCAGTAAAGTCCTCAATAATGATGACTAGCACAAATTTTACAGCTGAAGATCTTACTGTATGGTAGTGATGGTACCTTTATTGGACATTTTTAAAATGAATCAGCAGCTGCTCATTTTTTAAATATCATGATCAGTTTCTTGATTTTATTGCTCGAAACCGCCTGTTACTGTTGTATGCCATGGATAGTGTACCTACACCATAGCAGCATGCTTATTAGTTCTTACTGTCGTCTTTCCGTCTGTTGTCGAATAAAATGTTTGAAAGTTGGGCCGCCAGGTGCCATGCCTGGGGCTGATAATTGGCGACGACGGCCAGCGGACGTCGAATTACGTTCCTAGTTTCTTGTGCCGCTAACTGCCTGCTGCATTTATTTGTCGTTTCAGAAAACATTGTTGAACGTGGGAGCTTCCTGTCGCTCTTTCGAGACGCTCCCATGATTTGGTGATTGAGTCGCTCGAAAGGGACCTCGGTGGAACGTTGGCGCTTCACATTTGTTCGTGGCTTCCACTTCACCGAACTGTCTCAGCATAGTATCCCGAACGCGGCGCCCGGCATCACCGAGTCATTAGTACTTAGTAGAATACGCGCGGGCCTGTGGCTGCATTCCGTTCCACTTCCTACGGACATAATTTCGGCGTGAGAATTGGGGAGCGAAAAATGGTTCAGCGAAGCAAAACCGGTTCAAACGTCTTCAAACGTCTTCTATGTGATAAGGCGAATGTTCAATTTTGGAATCATATTTATTATTCGACGCCATCTTTTCTCATCATTTTCTAATTCATAATAAGGCTTGGAGTGAAACAAGGCATCAACGTTCGCCCTTGTGGAAGCTGCTTCTTGTTCTGCAATGAAGCCAATCACTTGTCAGCAAGCCATGGCTGTGGTACGTAGGACAACACGTTTTCCCGCTAGCACTAGCATCGTATTGTATTGTATTGTATTGTATTGTATTGTATTGTATTACCTTCATGGACAATCCACACGGGGCGTGGCGATTACAGTCCATTTGATGTAGGTATATTCCCAAAGTGAGGATTTCCCAAGGGCTTGGGCGGGTTGAAGTAACGTGTCTAATGTTTTCTCCCTTTCACAGGAGGACGAGACTGAACGGGCCGCCAGTGGACATCTGCCGGCCCTCCAGCGTCGTCCCTCGACTCAGCTCCGCGCCGTCTGCCGGCACCCGCGGTCCGCCGGTCCGTGGTCCGTGGTTCGTGGTCCGACGGTCCGCGGTCCGCCGGTCCAATTATCAGCAGGTATCGCGGCCAGCCTCTGACACCGCGTCGGCGGCCGATGCGCCACGGCAGAGGCCGGCGGTGCCAGGTGCGCGGCGCGGCCGACGGTGTCAGAGACCGTACCGGCGGCTGGGCCGCGTGCCGCGCTCCCACGTACGCGCAGTTGCTCGGTGGCGGAGGGCTGAGTGTGCAGCGTGTCCTGCGGATAGAGTGGCGTGCGGTGGTGGCTAGTGGAGAGTGCTGTGCGAGAGGAGAGGAGAGGAACGCAAGTGGATAACAGGAGAGGAGGACATAAAGACATCAGCACCACGCGGATAGCAGGTGAGTGTCGGATGAGGGGGAGATAGACTCGCGTCTTATGTGCATCTCTAGGGTCGGGTCGGGTCGCTCCAGTCAAGCACTGCCCCTGAGTCGGTGACCCTCACAGCAGTTGTCTATTGTCATGTGGTGCCTTACCCTGCGGATTTCGTTCAATGATACACACTTCAGCAAAGACCTGCCGAATTCCGCTTGCATCTGACTGAGAAACTCCGCTCAGTCCAACCCTCCCTCTCCGCCGGTCAGCGTTTGATTTGGCCTTCTGCCAGCCAGCGCTCAGTCGCATGAGCTCTGCCTGGGCCTGGTCGGGCAGTGCTCCAGTTCGACCAGATCCCGCGATCTCGCGGCCCTCGCCCGTCTCGTGAGGCGTCGCTAACCGTTTTTACCGGCTCTTCTCTCACGAACCCGGTATCGGCGGTGTCGTGAGACCGAGCCCAGATATATCCGGACCGGTTCCGAGGCCCTCGGTGGGGCGGTCCTTGGTGGTATAGCATCGCTTGTAGGTCTACTACAGTGAGAGTGAGTGAGACGCACACCCACGAGATAAGAGATGATGCGCGGCGCACGCATTAGCGGTCAGCGATGATGTTTTTGGGTGCCTTCTTGCCATTTTTGTGTGTATCTACTGATTTGGTTCGGCCACCTCCCTTTGATGGGACTCATTTACTGGAGACTATTTAACTTGCATATTATGTTTTGGACAGAGCACGCTGTGAATGGGAAGCGTTCCGTTCACGGCATAATATTTTTTATGGCGTACTCCTTCTGTTAGGTCCCGTCTCACCAGACACCTTCTGTTACTGTCTTGTGGTTTACCGGTTCACCGCGGCTAGGGCTACGACCCGTTTTGGAGTTTTTGATGGGAAGTTAGTCGCGGTTTTTCGGTAATAAGGAACTTCTTTAAACTTTTTTTAGCCCACGGGAACGTAGCGAGCGAAGGTTGCTAAAACAGTAATTTTCTTGTCATGGGTAAGTCAAGTGATATATTGAAGGGACACAAATCAGGTTATTGCCAAGAGATGCAACTGTCAAAACCTTGCAATCCTTAACTTTCTTTAGTAACGAACCCCTGTAATTGGCAAACCTTGGGTCATTTTGAGTACCTATGATCGTACCTACTGACTACTCCTCACCACCCCATTCCTTCATCTTCTCTACTCTGGGCTCTCCGCTGCTGTCTTCCTCCGCTTCCTGCGTCGTAGTCTTTTCCATCCATGTCGTGCTGTTCTCTGAATGTACCGATCCTGAGAATGACGAGGGTGGAGTCCCCCGGCTCTGACGGGTAGCGGTCACCCTCGGCTGCCCCCGAGACAACAAACAGCGTCACAGCCGAGCGGTGCCGTCAGCGAAAGTCGGAGAGGTGCCGCGCGTCCGCTCGGACGATTGTCTCACGAGTCTCCCTTCACTAAATGACAGCCGTCATTGACGAAGGGGAGAGAAGGGTGACGGGGCGTCTTTGTGTGGGGAGAATGTGTCGGGTATGACAGCTGTTATTGTTGAGCGGTTTGGGGAAGACAGGTAGCGTACGGAGTGTTGTGTGCTCTTATCCAATAGTGGTTTGGTAGGAGGTGAAGGGAGCTTGATCAGCAGCTGTCGCCGGTCTGCAGTGGTAACGAGTTGTCAACATTGCGTAACCCAGCTCCGCCGGTAGCTCTGTCGTCTGCTGTCGCCGTTCGAGCCGGGTCCCGATCCGCCCGTCAGCCCCTTCCCCACGCCGGGGCCTGTATAACCGGTCACGTCCTTGGATTTGTCCGGGACTGCAAGGCCCTGCTGTCAGCATGCGCCAGTCGCTGGTTCACCGGTACTTATGGGCGTCAGACAGTGCGCAAACAGTCGCTAAATCGATCACGTGACCGTCCAGTGAGTGTCAGGCCGGCAGGCCATTCTGTCACGTGGGTCTGCCGCCGGACGCGCGGGTCACGTGACTCGCTGTGACGTTTTCGATCGGTGTGAACGTGGTGGGAGTACGCGCAGGTGTGCAGGCCCCCCTCCTTTCCCCTCCCCTCCCCTCCCCTCCCCTCCCCTCCCCTCCAGGGGGAATTGAGCTAACACAGGTGTGCCCGTCTGCCAACGGTAAACGGACGTCAACAAGCGGAACAGGGAACGTCGCCAGAATTTGAATGTGAAGACAGGAAGAGGAGCGTCTGTGATCATCCTGAGCCGCTGAGTTCTGAATCACGAGCTTCCAGCACGGTGGACCAGCAGCTGTCGGCTGGTCCTTTGTTCGTGGTTGTTATGACGCGTCATTAATAGCTTGATTTGGGGCTCGAATAGAGGGAGCGGAGGATGGCCAGCACGAGGAGGGAGGGAGGGAGGGGCAGAGGGGTGGGAGGAGACCCGAGTCGTGGCGCGGTTGACGACCCGGGTCCAGGGGGAGGGGACCGGGCTTCGGCCGAGGCGAGATAAGACACGCACAGTACACAGGCCGCAAAACAGGTCGGGCAGTCCAAGGCGCGCGCTCAGAGGCGGCGGACAGTGCCGAAGGGTGGAAACGAAGCGACAGGCTGTGGAAAACGATCGTGCGGTCGCAGAGGTGACGGACAAAGCGAGAGAGTGGGAATCGAGCGTCGAGCTAAGCGCTGTAAAACGAGCGAGCAGGAAAAGTAGACAAGGCCGGGAGACAGGTTTGTGGAGCGACAGAGTACCTGGTGCTCAGCAGAGGGGGACCAAGGGAGACGGACATGGCCGGTAAGTCAGGCTAGCGTGCTAGCGATACTAGTCACATCAGGAGCCTGCTGCCTGCATGGCTGACTCGCCGAAAAGTCAAGCGAATGGATTATGCTGATGCTGTGAACGAATCAATACCAGTGGGATAGACCGTTGTGCAGAGACCACATGGCAGATGTGTGTGTCCAGAGTCATTGATAGTGAACAACTGATACAATACCACCCGCTCCATCTGGGTATGAAGGTATATACCGGCTCGTCGTCTATGTCACAGTAACACAGAGCGGAGAACCAACATGTCTGAACCATGTTGACCCAGTTAAATTTGCTGTTCGTCAGGTACGACAGAACCGTACCGACGCTGCTTATACACATGGCTGAATCGTGTGGGCCCATTAATGCGCCTGGTATGCCTGACCCATACCGGTGCAGAGCAGCAACAATCAACATGCATGAACCATGTAGACCCAGTTAAATTCACTGTTCGTCAGGTACACGGGCTCATTTGGCGACCGGTCTGACCCAAATCGCAGTAAAACTCGCTGTACGTCAGATATGCCTGAACCATATCGACGCAGCGCCAAGCCACACATGCCTGAACTATGTGGGCTCATTTATGCGCCGGGTACGCTTGCACCGTATCGGTGCGGCAATGCAACATGCCTGATTCATGTTGACAGAGTAAAACTCGCTGTTCGTCAGATATGCCTGAACCATATCGACGCAGCTTCAAGCCACACATGCCTGAACCATGTGGGCTCATTTATGCGCCGGGTACGACTGCACCGTATCGGTGCGGCAATTCAACATGCATGAATCATGTTGACACAGTAAATCTCGCTGTTCGTCAGGTATGCCGGAACCATATCGACGCAGCGCCAAGCCACACATGCCTGAACCATGTGGGCTCATTTATGCGCCGGTTACGCCTGCACCGTATCGGTGCGGCAATGCAACATGCCTGATTCATGTTGACAGAGTAAAAGTCGCTGTTCGTCAGATATGCCTGAACCATATCGACGCAGCGCCAAGTCACACATGCCTGAACCATGTGGGTTCATTTATGCGTCGGGTACGACTCGGTGCGGCAATGCAACATGCATGAATCATGTTGACACAGTAAAACTCGCTGTTCGTCAGATATGCCTGAACCATATCGACGCAGCGCCAAGCCACACATGCCTGAACCATGTGGGCTCATTTATGCGCCGGGTACGCCTGCACCGTATCGGTGCGGCAATTCAACATGCATGAATCATGTTGACACTGTAAAACTCGCTGTTCGTCAGATATACCTGAACCATATCGATGCAGCGCCAAGCCACACATGCCTGAACCATGTGGGCTCATTATGCACCGGGTACGCCTGCACCGTATCGGTGCGGCAATGCAACATGCATGAATCATGTTGACACATTAAAACTCGCTGTTCGTCAGATATGCCTGAACCATATCGACGCAGCGCCAAGCCACACATGCCTGAACCATGTGGGCTCATTCATGCGCCGGGTACGACTGCACCGTATCGGTGCGGCAATGCAACATGCATGAATCATGTTGACACAGTAAAACTCGCTGTTCGTCAGATATGCCTGAACCGTATCGAAGCAGCGCCAAGCCACACATGCCTGAACCATGTGGGCTCATTTATGCGCCGGGTACGCCTGCACCGTATCGGTGCGGCAATTCAACATGCATGAATCATGTTGACACTGTAAAACTCGCTGTTCGTCAGATATGCCTGAACCATATCGATGCAGCGCCAAGCCACACATGCCTGAACCATGTGGGCTCATCTATGCGCCGGGTACGCCTGCACCGTATCGGTGCGGCAATGCAACATGCATGAATCATGTTGACACAGTAAAACTCGCTGTTCGTCAGATATGCCTGAACAATATCGACGCAGCGCCAAGCCACACATGCCTGAACCATGTGGGCTCATCTATGCGCCGGGTACGCCGGCACCGTATCGGTGCGGCAATTCCACATGCATGAATCATGTTGACACAGTAAAACTCGCTGTTCGTCGGGTATGCCTGAACCATATCGACGCAGCTCCAAGCCACACATGCCTGAACCATGTGGGCCATTTATGCGCCGGGTACGCCTGCACCGTATCGGTGCGGCAATGCAACATGCCTGATTCATGTTGACAGAGTAAAAGTCGCTGTTCGTCAGATATGCCTGAACCATATCGACGCAGTGCCAAGTCACACATGCCTGAACCATGTGTGTATGTATGTATGTATGTATTTACGATCATGGGCGATCCACACATGGCGTGGCGATTACTGCCCACTCATCTATGCGCCCGGTACGCCTGAACCGTACCG